ACAAAACTAACAATTGTTTATTTTTTTTTGAGCTGCTAGTCGTTTTTTTTGTACTAACAATAACAGTATTATGCAAAACGCCTGGCCGCTAAACATGAAGGCACTTCACAAGCGGTGGCGCTGTATACTATACTGCTTACCAAAGTATGCCACAACATCCGCTCGGTTTCCAACAGCCTTCCGCAACTCTTCTACACATCCGTACAAATAGTTTCGGCAGACACCACTGACCCGTCTTCTTCGTCATCTAAGCATGTAATGCTCGAAGACTTAGCCGCCATTTTTTCCATGAACAGGAAAGACCTGTTACTTGAATGGGAGCTTGCTCAGTTTAATGATGATCCTTTAGTGTGGCACGAATGGCTCGGACAATTCAGGAGTGTAGTAGATTCAGCACACTGGACCAACGATGAAAAAAAGGCTTACTTACTTGAAAACCCTGGTTACAGGTAAGGCAAAAACGGCTGAGCTCGTATTTTGTGGTGACTCGTATCCTGATGCTCTTAAAACTCTTGAGCGTAAATTTAATCAACCACCCACAATTTTGAGCGCTCATTTACATAATTTAAGCTATTTCCCACAACTTAATATGCGTCTATTATGTCTACTAACTAAGTTTTGCGTCTACGATATGGAGCTTGGTGACAGCATTCAGATCCCTTTTCTTCTACTCAGAGCTTGAGAGCGCGTCGATCCTCAGCCAAGCGATCGCAAAATTACCTCCTGACATCAAATAAGCTTATGCTATGCAGGTTGTCAGACGACATTGATAACGACCATCTTTGATTTTAGCTCAATGGGTTGTCATCATCAGGTAAGCCGAGAACAGAAGAAGGTACTAAGATCAAGTCCGCAACTAAGCTGTTCTCTTCAAATGTGCGCACAGAGAGCAGTTCTTATTTTTCGAAAGACAGCCACGCAAAGAGCCAAGCTACGGCTGCAAAAAAAGTTTTGTCTTGCTTACCTCCAGGGTAATCACCAATTAAAAAAATGCCCTACAGCCAGAAAACGTTCCAAATCTAATTGTGGCAGCACCCATAATCTGATGCTGCACGGCAAAAAAAAAGTATTTCCTCCTCGTGAACAAGAACTATGGGTAGCCAATGCCAAAATTTTGGCTACTAATACCAGCATGGAAAAAAAAACACCTGAGACAGCCACAGAAGTGAAAAATCATTCTAAAGTGAGCACATTTTCCGCATTTCTCACTGCGCATGAGGGATTTCTCCCTATGAGAGAGTTAGAAGTTAATTCCAATGGCACCAGTACCAAAGCGCTGGTTTTGTGCGACAGTGCTTGCAGCAACTCAAGCAGGTCGTCAAGACTTGCAAAACGCCTCAATCTTGAAGGAAAGGATTTAAAAATAACAGTCAATGGAATCAATACTACAGAAGTAAATCATAGTCACAAAGCTGAGATCACAGTTTCCTCAGAAACATCTAATCCAAAACTGCTTTTGAAGTTTCACTTTTTATTCAAGAAACCCTCAAAATTGGGTCTGAACAGTTGATGTGGCTTCGCTTCAAGAAACGTACCCGTACATCCAGACCGTAACTCCGTCAGTCTTAAGATATTCAGATGTAGAGCTAATCCCAGGGTAAGAATTTTAGTTTTTTGTCAGACCTTTGAAAAATTTTCATAGCCGGGAAAAAATCGCCTCTAGCCGTCTGTGTACCCATTGTTTGGGGTTTGAGTGATAATTTGGTTTAGTCTTTATCTGGTTTAGTCTCCACTTTCGTCAAATGTAACATCAGGGATGTATCTTGTCGATCAAGTCAAATCATGGTATGAAATGGAGTCATTGAAACACACAAAACCGTTGATGTCAGATCATCAGCCAGTAAAAGAGCCTCTAGCATTCTTGAAAGCTCTACCAAACGTGCTGGTTTCCGTTATTCCGTTATTCAGTCGGAATGCTTCGGGCAGATCATAATGTGAATTTGTCGAACAATTCTTTCTCCGCACTTGTTCAGCTGAAGTCATTGGATGAGCACTAAAATAAAGACAATTGTCTGCGCCTCCATTATCAGAAAAAGGTATCTGAAGCCCTGGAAATTGGTTATTTCATTCAAGTCAAGCCGCATGACCAAAAAAACGAGCCGTAACCGTGAGTGGCACTTACCGCACCACCCAGTCACCAACCCAAACAAATCCGGAAAGGTCCGAAAAAGGTTAAATGGAGCTTCCAAGTTTCATCGGTTTTCACTCAACAAATCGCTTCTTGTCGGTACACATTTGTTGCAAGGCTTGCAGTTTTTCCTACTGCGTTTCCTTCAACATAAATTTGTTATATCCGCAGACATCGAGGAAAAGTTTCTCCAAGTCGGAACTCTTCCCGAAGAGCAACCATCTCTGCCTTTTCTGTGGCCGGAAGAACCATCAACAGAAGTGATGGTATATCAATACACTCTTCAAATATTCGGAGGACATGACTCACCAACGTGCGCTAATTTCGCTCTGCAGCAGACAGCTTAAGATAATGAGTCCGATTATCCTGAAGCCGAAGCAGCTGTCTGCGAAAAGTTTTACATGGATGACTACTTGGAATCCATGCCAAATGCTGAACAAGCCGTGAACCCAAATAAAGATTTAGAATGAATTCTTAGTAAGGGAGTAAGGGAGGATTTAAATTGATCAATTTTATCCATAATTTTCCTAAGATCTCAAGGAAGTTTAACCTGAATAACAAAGAAAACGAAAAAGTTATAGAATTACTCGTAACTCCCTGGTAAAAAGTCGAGGTGCAAGTCGTGAGCTGCAGAAAGATATCAGACAGTGTTTAGTTTTGTGTCATCAGTGCATGACCCAATTGGTCTTGTTTCGCCTTAATCAGTACAAGCCCACCTCCTGTTGAAAGAAATTTGACGTCTTAAATGTCAACAATGCGACGAACCATTGCTTATTTTTTTGCAGTGGAACTCAGGCTTACCATTGCCAGGAAAAATGACCATCCCTCGTGCGCATTCCAGAGCGCCTGTAGATATGGTGGAACTACACATGTTTGGCAAAGTCTACTGCGCAGTTGGGTTTCTCCGTGGTCGCCTGTCAGAATCTCAGAAGATAGAGTTCAGTTTCCGAATTAATTCAATTTAGTACATCTTTTTTTCGCAGTTTCCAAAATTAATTCAATTTGGGTACAATTTTTTTTGTGATTTATTGCAGTGTTTTGAAGTGAGCGAGGTCACAACCGCCATGTTTGGTGAAATCAAAATTATTTGCTAGCCAATTCTGACTCCAAAATGAAATGTGAATTTTCCTTTGGTTGAATTTCGTGCATAGAAACGTTTAAAATTTTGCAAACCATTTCGGGCTTTGAAATAACTGAAAATATTTCAAAGCTTGAATAGCTTGAATAAAAAAATTATTTCTTAATGGAAACTGCCTCGTCTTTGTTACAATTTGAAATATATGCTAAATTTTATCGCATTAAAAACTTGCAGCAAATAACTAACTTCTAGCGATCCGATTTGGTCTATGAAGAATGAAAAAAGTTTCACCATTCGCAACTTTGTAAGGCAATTCGACTAGTTAATTATCTTCAAGTATTTCAAATTTTCAAAGCTTGGCAAGTGGCACCTGTTTTTCTATTTCTACATTAGTCGTGCTCTTCTGTTTTTAACTGAAAATGAAAATATTTGCAAAAAAAAATTTAAATTTTGATCAAAGTAAAACTTTCCACTTCTTGACAAAAACATGGTGCAATTACAGTTTCGTATTTTCATTTTTCTGGCAGCTTGTACAAATCAATTTTGGTTATAATAAAAAAAATTCGGGCAGGAAAATTTGTTAAGGATAAGTGAACCGATGGGAGCCATAAGCCATAAGAGAGTTTGTTTGGATTGAGCTAACTTTTTTTTCTAATTGCGGTAGTTAATTATCCATAGTTTTAAGAAATTGTCAAATTGAATCTATTTGAGATGAAGCTGATGATGAGTACTCTGGGACTTTTTAATTCGAAATTTTGATTCTTATATTTTGTCTTGTTCCTCATCTCTACTTTGCTAACCTTCTTTTTCTTCTTCTGCTTCTTGTTCCTCTTACTTTTCTCCTTCTGCGCTTTCTTCCTCATTTCCTTTTTTTTGTTCGCCGTTTTTTCCTTTTTTTTTCTACGCCTTCTTCTTGTCTGTTATTGAAGGAAGTCTCGAGGCACAGTGCTTTAAAGTTTGCAGTTGGTTCCCCTCAATTTAGAAATAAACTAGAAAAAGTTGCATGAAATTTTTAAAAAAAAAACGAAAACTACATGTTTTTTCAACAAAAAAATCTACAATTTTTCTTTGAATTGAGATCTGGAGCTGGTCTCAGTTTTCAATTTATCAACAAATCTGACCAAGACTCCGTTCCAGATTAAAATGCGAGAGGTTTAGTTGAATTGTGGAGCCTATAAAAAATTTTGCTAGCCAGTTCCGTCTCTAAACCGAGATCTGAATTTTCAATTTTCCTTCGCTTGAATTTCGTGCATAGAAAAATTTAAATTTTTGCAAACATTTTCGGGCTTTGAAATAACTTAAAAGTTTTCATAGCTTGAAGAACTTGAATTTAAAAACTAAATTTTTACGCAAACTACCTCGGTCTATATAACAATTTGAAATACTTGCAAACTTTTATCGCGTTAAAAGCTTGCATCGAATAATTAACTTATAGCGATCCGATTTGGTCTATGAAAAATCAGAAACGTTTTACCATTGTAATTTTTTGTAAACCGATTCGTTTAGTTAAATAACTTCAACTATTTCAAATTTGCAAGGCTTGAATAAATTGCAACTGTTCTTCTAAATTTACTCTTGTGTTTTCAACTGGAAACGAATATTTGCGCCATTGAAAAACATGCTGCAATTACAGTTTCGAATTTCCACTTTTCTTGCCGCTTGTAAAGATCAATTTTGGTCATAATAAAAAAATATCCGGGCATGAATATTTGTTTAGGATAAGTGAACCGATGGGAATCATAAGCCATAAGAAAGTTTGTTTGGATTGAGCAAATTTATTTTTTTCTAGTTCTTGTTGTTAATAATACATAGTGTTAAGAAATTATCAAGTTGAATGTATTTGAGTTAAATCTGTTGATGTATAGTCGGTGACTTTTCAATTCAAAATTTTGATTTTTGTATTTCATCTTTTTTCTCATCTCTACGTTGCTAATCTTCTTTTACTTCTTTTTCTTCTTCTTTTTCTCCTTCAACGCTTTCTTCCTCGTTTCCTTCTTTTTCTTCGCCGTTTTTTCCTTCCTTTTCTTCGCCTTCTTCTTGTCTGTTATTGAAGGAAGTCTCAAGGCACACTGCTTCATCATAGTTTGCTGTTGGTTCCCTTCAATATAAAAACAAACTAGAAAAAATTGCTAGTGGTATGAAAATTTATTTGAAAAAAAAACGAAAACTACATGTTTTTTCAACAGAAGAGATCTACAATTATTCTTTGAATTGAGATTTGGAGCTCATCTCTGTTTTCATTTTATCAACAAATCTGACCAACATTCTGTTCAAGATTAAAATGCGAGAGGTTTTGTTGAATTGTGGAGCCTGAATATTTCTTCCCACAAACTGTCAATCGAATATTTACCTACACGGCCATTTTCTTCTATTTTCTAGTCTCTTTAATCATAATTCAACTCTTTTGAACAGTTTTCATTTCTTATTTGATAATTTCTATTCATTATACGGAGTTTTCTTGTGCAGTTTTTTTTCGACAATGGCAATTTCGGGGTATTTTTTGCAGCTAAAAATTAATTGTTTTCATCAAAAAAGTTTGTCCAGAAGTTTCTCCGATTATTATCTATTATCTGGCAATTTTGTGGTCGAATAAAAAATTGTTCTTTTAATAATCAATTATCTGGTGATTTTGTGGTCGCAGAGTGAAATAATCGATTATATGGAGAAAAAAATCCCTTAAAAAAACTTTAATTTTATGTCGACTATATTGGAATTATAATAGATTATAATAGATTCCCGCACCGAGCGCCCATGGACCATAATCGATTATATTGTCATAATATGGTCCGCAATAAAATGACAAAATAATCGATTATAATCCATTAAAAATGGGTTATAATCCTAATATTCTTTTGCCAATATAGTCCATTATAATCGATTTTAATCGATTATAATGGTTTTTTCGAGGGCTTTTTCATGAAATTTACAATTTATTTAAAGTTATCTTATTTCCTGTTTAGCGCAGTTGCTACGTATTACGTTTCATAAAATGTTACATTTCAGAACAAAATTTCAATACTTTTTGGTCTCTGTTTTTAAGTTCATCGCAGTTTAACACTTCATTTTACTGTTTTTTTTACCACAAACTCCCCTCCCCACCAGTTTATTACCTCATCCCCCCCCCCAGTTTACGCCCCTCCTACTATTTACCCTCCCCCCAGTTTAGCAATTTACAACCCCACCCCATCCCCCCGGTTATGCTCCCCCTCCCCAGTTTACATACCCCCCCCCCCCCAGTTTACCCTACCCCTTCAGTGAGGGGGGAGGTAAAAAGCTTGAGGGGTCGAAGGGATGACGTTGAAGCATTCCCGCAAAATTTGCAATATTTTGCAAAAATAATCGAATTTAGTTCTAAAAATGAGAAAAGAAGAGAAAAAGTCAGTTTTTCAGACATTAAAATCCATTTTTTTGACAACATAATTGATGTTTTGGGTCTTAGATTTTACTGCAATTTTATGGCGATAGCAATGGTTTTTGCTGCGATTATTGAGATTATGTGGAGATAAAAATTTATTTTAGCGGAATTACAAGGCAATGTATTCTTGATGCAAATAATCTATTTTCTTTCGATTATAACAGAAAATGTTGCTTAAATTGGTTACACATAATCAATTATAATGGTAACATTTTCCGCAATATTTTTTCAATATAATGTATTTTTATCCGAGAAACTTCAGTGCGGGTTGGGCACCCGCACTCTGTGAAAAGCACTTTCACGATAATTTTCATTAATTACCCGTGCATGATTAAAGGAACTAACTTGCTAATACCAATAGTTGAGCAGCGCTTCCAAAATTGACTCCTTTATTTTTTCATTACTTCATTCTAACCACCAAAAAGCGTATATTTTTTCGAAAGATAAAAATTAGCAACTAATGTAAAATCAAATGGATCTTAAAAGCAAACGTTTAAAAGCAGGCTTTAAAAAGAGTCATTTTTACGAAGTCTGAGACCTTTTATCTGTTAAAACCCAATCGCCGAGCTCTTGTGAAGTTTGAGGACCCATAATGTCAAATTTTTACTTAAAAATAAAGGATTCCTACAGGAAGCACGATCACGCTCCCTTAGGCTGCTTGAGAATATATGTAAATACTTGAAATAAAAAAAAATTTGATGATAACCAGAATGGACAAAATTCAACAAATTGAAAAATTCGAGTCAAATATGAAAGGTACTCACTCATACAAATTGGGTTGATTGTCAAAGTATATATTGTCGTAAGTTGAATGTGTTGGTTGGTCAGTTTTTGCTTCATCTCTGGGTCTGAAAAAAAGAAGCTTTAATTTTTAAATATTTTTTTCTGCTTTCAAGAATGAATCTTTGAATGAAAAACGACAATCAAAGACATCTAAAAACAAGGATAGCCGGTTACTGGGCAAATAGCACATAATGTTCCGAACACAGTCTTAAAAAAATATATAAAAGTTTTCCTAAATTAGTGTCGTCTTTTTCTGCATGTTGTGATGAAAAAATCTCCAGGAAATAATAAAACTTAGGCATATTTGAGAGTCATAGTAAAATAAATGAATTGGAAAACAGTTTTTGAAGAAAAATGACTAGAAAACGACTAGATTTTTTCGAATTTTTTTTTGAGTTTTTTTTTTCAATTTTTTTTTGAGTTTTCAAGTTTTTGACTCCTAAGTTTTCACAGCTTAAATTAATCTTAAATAAGCTTTTGCAATTATTAACTATCTTACTAATTAGCTCAAAATTAGACTAAAAATCAAAATTTTCTTTCCGGTTTTTCTCTACACCGTGAAAATTTTGTCCGATGATTAATTGTGGTAGCTGATTTTGCGTGGAAAACAAAAAAAAATGAAAAAGAGGCCCGTATCCAAAGTTCCTTCCTAATTTCAATGGTCGGAACAAAAACTTGAAAATCAAAATTTCCTTCGATTGAAATTTCGAAAACGTTAAACCAATTTCGAAAAATTATATGGACTAATTTATTTGAAAAAAATGGGCTCCAATCTTCCCGCTTATTACAATTGTGATACTTGAGAATGTTATTGACCTTCCATGAGTCCAACGAGTTGAATTAAACCAAAAACTGAAAGTCGGACCGACAAAAAAAAACAACTTCTATCAAATTTGCAGTTTTCATATAAAATAAAAACAAAACAAAAGTCCGCAAAAACTAAATGAACACGTTTGTTTGGCTTGTTAAAGTTTTTTTGAATGATTGAGAAGGTTGCAATTTTAGAAGCAGAAAAAAGTGTACAACATTTTCATACCAATTTTGAATATTGAAAATTAAATTTCCGAATTTCATGAAAACAAACAAATCAGCGTAGGACTGTTTGATTTTCATTTAATTTATAATTGATAAAAATTGATAAAATTAGCCAATTTTATGAAAACTGTATCAAAGGGTATCTTTTTTTCCACTAAAAAATCTAAAAACTAAAATCCACTTTCGAAACCGAATTCTCTTATCTTTGTTGCGCTATTTTATTAGACGAAATTGAATTGAACTCAAAAAACGGCAGCATAAATATTCCTGTGCATTTATAAATGTACTAACATGTATGACCAGAGTTCTGTAGTTACTAGAGCATTTTGAGAGCACTTTCCTGACAAAAAGCCATCAAAATCTAATCAAGTGAAAGTCACTTCGTTTTTTACAATTAATCTTGAAATAATTTGTTTCTTCCCAAAGATGGTGAAGAAACAAAAAGTTTGCAGAATGAGAACAAAATTTTTCATCACTGAGCAGCATTTTAATCGAGCTAAAATATCATTGAATAATTTCTCGCATATTTGAACTCTTGAGTGATTTTAAAAGATTTAAGAACATTAGAACGAAAAGTGCAAAAAAATGTTTACTTTTTATTGGATCGCATATAATGCAACAGGTAAGCAGTTGCTACAACTACTAGAATGAGGAGTGTGATTGATGCAACGACGATGATTATGATGACCAGAACGTTTCCTTCGTCTGCCTTTTCTGAAAATCAAAATATGTTTTATCGCGATTAGAAGAAAAAGAAACAAAACTTCTGGAAGAAAAGTGAAATTGAGGTAAAATGAAGTTGGTGAAAAAAACCCGCGCTGAATAGTTTTAACTTTTGCAATGACTTTGCTAGAAAATGAAACTCAAACACTCTTTCATTAATTGTGTTTTCTTTCCAGGAGTATTAGATGTTTTTTAGCTGGTAAGCCGGCTAATTTTTTAAGCTCGAATTTGGTGCAAATCTATATCATTTATTGCTCATTCGTATAATCAGTAATGGTAAAAGTTAGTTGCTTACTTGTGTGAAATTGCTCGTTGAATATATGAGGCATTTCTTTTCCGAAAAGAGATGGTTTCATTTCGAAATTATAGTGCGTATCTGGCGTCAAATCCGACAGAGTGTAAGTGCACGAATCGAGCTCCGTCTCACAGTTTGACCCCTCTAGTTCAATTTGTTGAACCAAATTTTTGCCATCCAAAACTTCACTCTCGAAAATCTGGTTAAAATATTATGAAAACTTTTTCATTTATACATAGGTTTTTGTATTCTAACCCCTAGCAACAAACCTTGCATTTGAAGTCGAGTTTTTTCAATTGCTGAAAAGGCTCTGCCATGATAGTGAGAATGCAGCTGTTTGTTTGACAGTTCATTTTGATGTCAAGGTTGAAGTTGATTTCTGAAAAAAAAACCTAGGTGAACAAAAATATTCACAAACTGTGTCGAGACAATTAATAAATAGGATACATAAAAATTCCTAAAAATTTTATTTCTCCTTAGAAATTTAATCCAAGAAAAATGGTTTATTATGAAAAAAAAACATTATTAAAATCAAAGGAATTTCACAAAAACCTCAACACTTGATTTCGAAGAACATTTTAGGATTGAAAAGTTTTGAGAACTGGAGATGCCTCTTTTAATCACAAAATGAACTCAAACCCTTGTACTTCAAACTTCTATTATAAAAGACACTTGGGATATTTAATAAGTGTGTTTTGTTTTTGGGTTTTCTAGGAAGCTAGGGGCGGGTCTATGTTTTTCTTGAGAGACGAATAAGAGTGGATATTCAAAAAGTAACAAATTTTTAAAATTCTTTCTAGATCTTTTAGGTCAATCGAGTAGATCTACTTTGTCTAAATTAACTAGGGGTAAAATAACGAGAAAATACTCATTTTTATCAAATTCTAAGCTTATCATAATTTTTTGTCGAAAAGACATTCATCAGGACATTAATGTTCAGTCGAAACCTTCAAGTCTCCGCTCTATAGCGAGATGAATTAATTCAAAGTATCAAACCAATAAGAGCATTCAGTTCAACCGAAATTGCAAAATAAATCAAACAGCAGTTTGTTTCATCGCGAAGCTTCGAATTTTTTAACAATTCTTTTTCTATCTTTAGGTAAACATTTGACAAACGAAAAAAATCCGATAAACAAGAGAAACTTTCCATTTTGTAAACCTTCCCACAACAGTTTTGGTCCAGTTCAATTGGCAACTTTTTTGTCCCCGAATTTTTATGCAGGTTTCTTGCAATTATTTTCTTTATTCTGGGAAAACAGACGTTCTTCGACCATTTTTTGAAAGTCTAAAGACTTTTTTGACACTTCTATTAGTTCAAAAATGAGTGTGAAAGACCCATGTCTCGCGACTTCTCGAATCAGGGCAAAGTTCTATGGAGTTTTGTATTCTGAAAAATGGTGAGCTTTTTTATGTTTTTATTTTTTTTCGAGTTTTTTTCATAAAAATCATACCCCCGCACACTATATAAAGAATGATATAAATTATTTCGCAGATAGCAAAAATATCATAAATTGGCCAAGTTGCAGGCCTCAATTCAGTTTGAAACTAGTTTTAAGATGGATCAATACTTCAACTACTCGTTAATGTTGCCTGTAATATCCCGGGTTAATTATCTCAAACTGGCAATCACTAGACCAGCATAGCTTTATCACAGGTGAAATATCTTTTTCATCTTCGACTCATAACAACATTACTTTTTGGATGATATAAAAAAGTCGGTCAAAAATTTCTAGCTAGAAAATTGCGTGGAGAAAAAAAGCACTCCAAGAAATTTTTCGTCATTTTATTCTCCGTGTACAAATTCTTCTGAAGTCGGAACAGGGGCGGATTTAGGGGGGGGGGGCGGACGCCTCCCCCCCTCAGGGATTCGACCCCCTGCCGACCCAAAGGGTCCCCCCTTTGATACTTTTTCAGAAATCCCTTTTTGGCCGACTGACCCTAAAATTTTTCTAAAGGCGCCGTTGGCGCCAATATATACTAACTTTGAGGGGGAGCGCGCGCCAAAAAAACGCTATTTTTTTGTCAAAATTTTTCAAAAAGTTCCCAAAAACGAAAAAAATGACAGTTTTTTCAAAAATTTGCCTGCGACGCAGAAAACTTTACCAAAATAGGGGCAAAACAGTGCTTTGGGAGAGCTCGAAAAATCGAAAAATCAATTTGGTCGACCTAAAAAAAAAAAAGGTCGTCAAAATTTTGGAAAATTCGCCCCCCCCCCCCTCGAGAAAATCCTAGATCCGCCCCTGAGTCGGAACACTGATGTTTAACAAAGATTTTATTTAAAACAATTATAAACAATCAAGGCTTTAAACAGACATTGCAACTTTTTTTCGAAAAAAAGTGCAATCAGCTGAGTGCTAATCAACCTGTATTATAGTTGTCTTTCATATATTAGGTACATAATCATGTTTAAGTACATAAAAAAACCAAAACACATCTATAATGCAGACTGATTAGCTTCAAGCTAATTGCTATTTATTTCGAAAAGATTTCTTCGCTAGGCTAAAAAGGCTGCTCGTATTGGTTTTGTTTAGTGCGCTTGAACCAGTCTCAAATGTTGTAAATAGTTCAAATATTGCAAATATGTTCTTCAAATTTTCCACCGCCTCTATCTTGACTAGCAAAATTAAGTTTCTTTTAATATAATTTATGTGTAATGTTATGCGTCTGCCTCACCTTCAAGCAGCTTCATTTATGGTTTGCCTTCTGGATCCCAGGAGTCAATATATTTGATGGAGTTCAAAACACCTCCAACAATTTTTTAAATTTATCAAATTGGGTTTTAAGCAATAACACCCGAGACGCCGAATTCCCTTAGTTTTTTGAGCGTTGATAACTAAAAAGAGTTCACTTCAAGTTCAGAAAACTTTGACATGTGGTAGATAAGATTGCACCGTTTTTTTTTTATAAAAGAGCACAACATAGTATTCCATTTGACATAAAACAAAGCCAAAAAATCGAATCAAATTTCATCAAGAAGAACAACAATGCTATCAAAATTCGACAAAAAATGTAACAGTTAAAAGTAATCGCCAGATGAGGAGAAAAACGGACTAGATAAACAGAAAAAGCTGAAAAAACATCAACTATATGCCAAATACTCAAAAAAGCCGATAAAATCTAAAACAGTCAGAGAAAAGTCAGGGGACAAAGGGCACACTATTTTATATCAAAAAACGAAGAATCAGATATTTTTATCAACTTAGAACTGCGATAATTTTATGTAAATCAATCTGCAACCGTTAGAAGTAATCGACAAGCTTTTATAGCTTTTTGCGTGATCCTTGGCGAGTATTTCTGTTCATAAGCAGTTTCATTAACTTATTGTATGTGTACAACTCTCTCCTACGTAAAAATCTCGAAAGTATTCAAAGATACCTTCTTGAGGAGCGATGCTGAACTGGTTGATTGAGGCAGTTGTTTTCAAGCTAGTTGCTGTATGCTCCCTCCAAAAGTGCAGTTGCACAGTTAGTCTGTCTTGAGTGTAATTTCTTACATATTGGATGCACTTCAGACCAAATCCGTGCTGAAACATCGCAGTGTCAAAAACATTAAAAAATGCACCGATCAAAAAAATTAATAATGAATCGATCAACAAAAGCATTATCATTGATTGATATGAGACATCGATCAAAGATACAGTTTGGGTGTTATAACAGTCATTGTCAAAAAATAGACAGAGAGGAACTAACACCGATTGTAGGTCTTAACGGAGATAAAAGTAAAAACAGTTAGTAAAAATCTACAAAATAGATGAAAAATATAATAGTGTGTTTAAGTGAACTATTCTAGAACATCATATTTGCATAAAAACAATTAAATTTCCCGAAACTTTCCCTAGCCGATGTTTTTTAACATTTCTGTGTTGACGGACTCGACTAAAAACCAGTCTGATTTGAATCAAATCATCCATGTTTTGACTACGTTCGACCAAAGAGAAAGGTTTCGAGCGGGGAAAAACACTTTGACCGTTTTCGACCCAGGAAAACATTTTTACCGGGACAGACCGATGGTTTTTTTTAAATTTCGACCGAGGAACATTTGTTTGACCAAAATTGAACGAAGAAAATTTCGAAAATTGAGTTCGACCCAACTGATACATGTTTTTACCACGTTCAATTAGGTAATTAAAGCATAATAAACTTAAAAATTTTGAAATAATCAATCACCAGATCAAAAGCATAATAAGTGCTGAAATGTGAATGTGCCCCAAAAAAACGAAAAAAAAAATTCTTTGATTAGATCGCACAATAAAGTTTTTTCCTTTTAAATTTACGATCAAAAGATTTAAAAAAAAAACAAATAATATTGTTGAAATATTTTGTTTTTTAATTATAATATTTCAAATAAAAATTAAAGCTAGGTTTTCTATAAACAGAACATTACATCTCAATTTTTTGAAGGAAACCCATGAAACTTATGGTTTGCGCTGCGGTGAAAATTTCTCCTCATGTGACTGCTGCTAAAGGCAGCTCTCTGGAAGAAAGACAAATCGTTGAGCCGAAGTTCAGGTAAAACATCAAAAAAATTGGAAAATGTAAATAACTTTTTCAAATTTTGTACATTTTATTGAGTCGAATTTGTTTTCGAATTTTTATTTTGACTTTGTGTTTGACTTTATGTTTCAATTTTTTGTGCTCGACTTTAAGTTTCGATTTTGTGTTCAGCTTCAGGGGTTGCTCGGTTTTGATTAAAAAAAACGCAAACCTCGACTCAGGTCATGATTTTTCACACACCTCTGTCGATTCAATAGACACGCTTGAAGACTCGCTTTGTCGAAGGAAGCTGTTATCTTGGACCAAAACAGTGCGCAGTTTGTTCACAATTCCTCTGTTTGTCCCATTGACTGTTTCCCACAGAAAACATAAACTATCCTCGCTCCTTGACAACTCTGTTAACGCGATCTCTCTTTGCGGGAGTCCTGAAAAACTAATTAGAACTGAATAGTTCCGTCATAAAATATTTTTTAAAATAAACAAATATCAAGGCGTGATAGTGTTATTGAAAAATATAAAATGAAGTTTTGCCTTTTTTGCCATAGTTTCTATTCACAGGATATGAACTTAAGCTCCTAAACCCAAGAATAATAAACAAAGAAACTATTTTAAGCTTTAAACTAGAAAGAAACCCACATTGGAATCCTCTACATATTAAAGCATTTTTCTTAAATTGAAATCTGAAAAACAATTGACCCAGTTGAAGTACCAATGAATTTATCTATTTTTTTTTTGAAAAAGATGGTATAGGAAAAAGTTTTGATTAATTTTGACGGAATAAGTCAGCCCTAATATTACACTTTACGTGAAGATTAGCTGACTGGTGTAATCTTAGTAGAGAATATCCCATCTACAACTATGGAAACTAAGCTGCAGCGCTGAGTAAAACATTTGAAATTTTTTTTCAGCTTGAATCACGACTAAAAATGATTGCCCACATTTCTTACTCAATCCTAGTTGACAATAGTTTGGTTGCAGATTATGATTAATAAAGTGGGCAAGCGAAAGTTTTATATTTTTAGAGCTTATATTGTGATAAATCCCAAATTTAACCTGTCTATCCGGTTGCTGTATAAGCAGCCCAAAAAAACTAACACAGTTATCATCGCAAAAATTAATCGGAAAAAACACAAGGTTGAAAAACAAGAAATTTTGAAAAACAATTTATCTGCAATTTATCTAGCATATATTAAACGTAGTGTCATCAAATTTTTCTATCGAACAATTTTTGATAACTGGAGCTCTTAGTTTTTGTTACTATATTTGATTCAAAAATATCAATCCAATTTCCAAAAACTGAGACGAGTTTTTCAATTGTTTTTTTTTGGAATCCAAGTTGCGGCTAATACGGATTCATAATGATATATGACACTTGATCACCAGCGGATTTAGGGGGGAGTGGGCGGACGCTCCCCCACCGCAGGGATTTGACCCCTTGCCGATCCAAAGGGTCCCCCTTTGTACTAGTTTGAGATATCCATTTTTGTCTCAATGAACTTAAAATTTTTCTAAAGGCGCCTTTGGCGCAAAATGTACTAATTTTGAAGAGGGACCGCGCGCCGAGAAAACGCGATTTTTAGGGTCAAAACATTCGAAAAATGCCTAAAAACGCCTTTTTGGCCGGTTTTTCAAAACTTGCCTGCGGCGCAGAAATCTTGGTAAAAATGGGGTCTTTATAGTGATTTAAGAAAGCTCAGAAAATCAATTGGTCGTCCTAAAAAAAACTTTTCGAAATTGTTTGAAGCTCCCCCCCCCCTCTAGAAAATCTTAGATCCGCCCCTGTACTTGATTCCTTATATTTTTTTTAGGTAAGAAAACGTGGCTTAAAAACAGCGCACGCAATATAATTGCTTCCAATTTTTTTTCTGTGACATTTAAAAATAAAGTCTTCTCATTTCTTCTAAACTAAAATAAAAGTTTTGCAATTGGCTCAATCATTTATATATTTCCTCTGAGTTTGAAATAAATTCTAATTTTTGTAATTACAGTGTTCAATTACCGTTTGAGAAACATTAAGAACAGTTAACATTGAAATCAGGGGCGAATCTAAGATTTTTTCGAGGAGGCGATTTAAAAAAAGTTGATTGAAATAACCAACCTGTTATGATATTCTGGCTGGCAAAACGTATACTAATTTGCCCGTTTATGCTCTCACTCCTGACAATAATTTTGTATGCTGATGCAAATTTAGCAAGTTTCAGTCGATATGTCTGCACATCTGGATTCAAATGTATAGGTAAGGATATAGAACTGTCTTCTAGAATATTCTCAGAAGAATAATTTGGATCGCCCTCCTCGTCTAGCTCGTGAACTTGAATTTGAAATCCTTTGATTTCTGCACTTTCAGAATAATCAAAATTGACATCAATGGATTGTAGATCTGAGAGATGATCAATTATCAGGTTTTGCGGTGCAGCAGGGGCTGTGAAACAAACACTCATTAAAGTATTGGAATGGAAACCGGTTGGAAAAATGGAAACCGGTTAAAATGGAAACCGGTTGGAAAAATAAAATTCATGTTGGAAAATTAATATTGATTAAGGGATTCATGTTTTTTTTCCAGGCCTATTTTTTTCCACACCAGAATGGGTTACAATTAGAAAAAACAAGTGTAGGTGCAGATTACGTCGAAGAAAAGAACAAACAAAAGTTCATGGCTTGTTACAAATTGATTTGGCATCTGTAACTGAAATTAAACCATTTGAAGCTTTTGGCACTCAAATTGCAATTACTAAATGGAAAAATGAACGGTTCTTCCCTTTGAATCCTCCGGGTACAGATCCGCGACTTATGAAAAATGTGACCCAGTTTTGGCAATTCCAGATCGGCGCGACCAAAAGTTACCAATTCGAGACCACCGCGACTTAAAAACACCACAGCGAGCGGCGTGGCTCATAGAACCATCGCGACTGGTGCGACTGAAGTTTGCCAATTCTGGACCGGAGCAACTGAGAAGAAAAGTTTTTTTTGAGGCGCGCTAGCGGTATTTTGTTAAGTTGCGCCGCTAAAATCTTTTCATAAACGGTGCTGTCAGTTTTTCTTTAAGTCGCGCCGCTGAAGTCTTTTCTAAAGTCCTGCTGTCAGTTTTCTTTAAGTCGCGCCGCTGAAGTTTTTTCTAAAGTCGGGCCGCCCGTACTTTTTAATTTGCTTCGGTAAAATTTTTTCTAAGTCGCATCGTTAGTCATCTCTTAAGAAACATCGCTAAAGTGTTCTTTTTTTTTCAATCGCGTCACCGAAAGTCATTTCTTAAATCCCGCCGCTAAAAACTCTTTTCTAAGTCACGCCGCTTAATTTTCTTTTCTTAAGTCGCGCCGTCTGCTTTTTCTTAATGCTCGCTGTCAGTCTTTTTTAAGTGCTGCCGACAGTCTTCTCTTGAGTCGCACCGTCAGTCTTCTCTTAACACGCGACGTCTGTCTTTTTTTTAAGTCGCATCTTCAATCTTTTCCTTACTCGCGCCGTCAGTTTTTCGTTAAGTACCACCAATTAAGTCTTTTTCCAAACCACAACCGCTAAATCTTTTTCTTAAGTCGCGTTCTTGTCTTTTTTAATGATCGCCGTCAGTCTTCTCTTAAGTTCTACTGACAGTCTTTCTTAAGGCGCATCGATAAGTTCTTTTCTTAGGTCCTGCCGTCAGTCTTTTCTTAAGCCTAGCTGTAAGTCTTTTCTTAAACCGCACTGTCAGTCTTTTCTCAAGTCCTGCCAAAAAGTGTTCAAAGCTCGCGCCGCTAAATGTTTTTAGCGTCTAAATCACGCCGCTAAATTCTTTTCCGAATTAGCGCCACTGGCTCTTTTTTTCAATTGCGGTGCGTAATTCATTTTTTAAGTCGCGTCGCTAACATCCTGTCTCAAGCCGCGCGGCCAGTGTTCTCTTGATCAAAAAAAACTTTACCGGCCTGACTTAAGCAAAAACTTCAGTGGCGCGACTTAAGAAAAGATTGACATTACGACTAACCCGCGGCGCGACTCTGAAATTCAGAGTTTTTTATAAGTTTTTCAAATTTCACCAAAAAAAGTCCTTGATATTCTTTCAGTTTCAATTCTATCACTTTTGAACAAAACTAACCAACTTGCAGCTTTTGTTTTAATTGCTGACGAGTCTGAAAGTAAATTTTCTTTTGAAACTAGAAGTCAATTACGTTTTTGGCAATTTTTACGCTTTATACTTTAAAACAACCCAATTGAAGGCCAATTGTCGTAAATCGTTAGTATTTATATTTATATAAATATAGATAAAAGATAGATAAACATATCAAACAGCTACAAAAAAACGGAGACCAATTTTTTCTGAAATTAAGACTGACTCAAAAAACTCGAAAAAAAGTGCTCAAAAAAACTCGAGATGAAATTGTTTTTATTCCATCCATATCAAACCTCAAGCTGAGTCGATTCTGCTAGCAACATTTTTAGATTCAGCTCTGATTTTTACGAATTATTCTTTAGATTTGATAGTTGCCGAACGGTCAATTTGAACTATTTCATAACCGCATACCAATTCACAGTTTAATAATCGAGTATAATAATCAATTTTTATAATCGATTATAATCGATTATAAAGTTTTAAGGATATATAATTGATTGTAAACATGATGCTTTATATAAGATAACAATCTGTTTTTTCGTCTCAACTTCACTTACCTGAGTCTTGTGTAATTGAAGCATCTTTTGACCTCACTTGACCTTGAGGGTCTGAGACGGCGAAGACAGAAATAGTGTACTCAGTGCCGGGAACAAGGTCAGAAGCAACGTAGCGCAAGTAGCCATCACTACGAAGTACAAACAAGTGAAAGTGAACAAAGTTTTGGCAAAACAATTTTCAGGATCTTCTTCTCTTGTTTTTATTTAGATTATTTCTGCCTATTTTGTACACTCTCTGAGAATATGTAAGACATTTTCAAACTTTCAGATTTTCAAATAGTTTAAAATTGCCTATGATATATTTCGTTTGAATTAGGTAATTAGGTTTAAACATTTGCACTTTCGAGAGATATTTTATTGGTTTCTATGAAATGGAAAAGGGCTATCAGAAGTTGTGACGCCTGTCTAACGATATTCAGCTCCTATGATATAATTCCCCAGATGCAAAATGATTTTTTTTGAACGAAAGCTCTTTTTTTTCCAAATCACAGCCCTATGAGCAATCGGGGAGCTCAGTTTTAAAAATTGTTTCTCAGTTTTTAACAAACTCGGTATTGACAAGTGCTGCAATCTACAGAGATCAATTATAAGACTTAAGTCACAGGACACGAATTTCCATATTTACATTTTTTGGGAAGATATCAGGTCGCCCTTTGAAGCGATTTCGATGAAAAAGTGGTCAAAAAATCCATTTGCGGGAGGAAGCCAGTTGATTCTCAGAGAATTTTCCTCCACCGAATAGATGGTCAACATCTCCACGGGGTTAGGAGCTGAAATGAAGAAAATAGGAATCAGCGACCATACCAGGCAGACCATCCTACAAAATTCTCTATATTACAACTTCTTATAAATTTTGCTCAAAAAACCCTCTGTTTTACAATTTTCTTGCAAGAAAATTTCTAAAAAAAAAAACGTTTTTTGATACTTCAACTCAATGAATGAACGACTACCAAAAAAATGGAAAATCTATTCAAAAATTGTTCTTGTGGTTCTGGAAGATATTTAATAATTAACGCCGTGTGTTTTGAGCCAGTTTTTGTCTGTCTATACGCCAAGATGATCTAGTTAAGAGTGAAAATTGTCTGGGGATTAAATGTTTCATTGATAACCATTTTAAATATAACATCAAGAAATTTTTTTCTAATTTTTGTTTCAATGTGATCCTTATTTTAGAGGAATATTTTTTATGGGTGAGTATTTCCTCGGACAATTTGCACCGATTACGATCAACAAGGGCTCTCAGAGAATTTTTGTCTAATGAACTCCCAAAAAAAACGCCAAAAGTGTATGTTGGCTTAACTTGCTCGTCCGGATAATTTTCTTTCATAACTCAAAAAACTTGAGAAGGTCTCAAATGGAATTAAGAACATTTCCACCAAACAGATATAAAAAAAAATTTCGTTTCAAAGGAAAAACTACATTAACTTGAAGTTTCGAAGTAGTTTTCATGGTTGACACAAGTTTGATAAACTTAACCCTAATTGAGAAAGTTATATCAGAAGGTAGTTTTTTTTCGGATGTACTCCAAGTAATTTTAAGAAATCTCGATCATGTATTAAAGCTTGAGAAATTGTGCAGCAATTGAAACATATCGGGGTTTTCTTGCCTTCAAAGTGAGATATTACTGTGTGATCTGATTCAGAGAAATCAGTGCGTGTAAAGATTTCCACGTCACATCTGAGCCCAGATTCTTGATTTTCAGAAGGCAACACTTCGGAGGTGAACCAAATTGCGTCTGATTCTTCCGATTTGAATGCACAATTTGAAGTTCTGCACTCAGAGACTGTCTTGTTCATCACTACGCTCTCAACTTCCTTGATCATTATTTTAAAACCGCCATCTGCAATTTGAAATTATTACTTCAATAAGTACTTAATTAAAATCAATAAGTACTTAAGAAAATCAGAAACGCTAGACTGAATTTTCAAAAATTTCCTCGAACCATGACTAGACAACTAAATTTCAGCATTTGTAAGAGTTTTAACTTCGTAAGCAAATTTCAAAGCTAACATTTATACACGCAGAATGATTTTTTTAAATTAAAACTAGCAGTTAAAGGAAACACTCACCGTCAATCACAGTTACGTTTGGAACTGTACACGTAACGATCATATGAATGAATTCCGCAGCTGTTAGTTGACTCAAGGAAGCGTTTATCCCAATTCCACTTTTCCCTTCCGTCGTTTGTTCATTGTTGGCCACAAATGTCAAATTACTGGTCAATTCGTTCAGTGGTTGCGGCACTGAAGCACAAAGTTTTCAAAATGGATCTTTTTAACAAACCCTATTTTGCTAAAAGGAGTAAATTCGTTATTAAGTACCAATTTCGTATATCGTTGGTTTATTTCATTGTTTGGGTGCCAAGTCTTTACTAGTACAATAGGGGGTTAATAACTTCCAAACAGTGTTACAACTATTTAATAATATAGCTAATTCTGGCTGTGATTTGATATCATTAAATTTGCGACAAACTTCGCCATTTTTTACCGTGGTTTAGATACGATTTTGATGCCCTAAAATTCAACATCGTTATATTCAACAACTTACAATTTAACAACCATAGGCAGTGTTTTGAGAGTTATTTCTGTGCCGCACACTTGTTTTTGAAAAAAAAACTGTCAAAAAGGTCGTTTTGATCAAAAATCTTTTAAAATTCTAAATCATTAGTTAAACTCCTGCCGAATATAATTGTATAGGGACTGAAAACTGAAACTATAAAAAGCAACCGTGTCAAACACTTTGATTATCCTTGTTGTAAAATCGAATTAATTTCTTCGATTCAACAAACTTTCTTGTAAAATATTTATATTCTTGTTCCGACTATTGAAAATGGCGAGGAACTTCGTATTGCGGTGTTTTATTTTTTTTTCTTTTTGCTTCCCATGCAAAAACAGGAAAAGAGGACCACAATTATCATCGAACTGGGTTGAGTGATATATCATATAAACGACCTTTCAGTCGCGATGCAAACCACATTAAAAAATTCGAAATATTTTTTCTTGCGTCCGTCGAGAAAAAACGGTTTAAAATTTCTGACTTGTTGTCTAATTTCGAGAATTTAACGCCAACGAGTAGACTTGTTTACGCTTACTTTTGCTATGCTTGCCCTAATATTTCACGAATACGTTATGTTTTTTTTACAGGACAAAACTGTATAAAAATTGTTTTTTTTGAGCATTTTCATTTTTCTTGTAGCTTGTAAGTTTTAATACCACCTTAAAAACTGCCAACCGGCATGTCAGGCGCGGTTTTAAAAAACCATCGGACCAACTGTACATCCTCTACACCAAACTTGTTTTAATTCTGACAATTCATTCTGTATATATAAAACAAGCTTGCTAAGATGCGCAAAATGTAAAAATATAACTTTTTTACTCATTTTGTGTTGTATGGGATACAATTTATCAAAATGAAATGAAAAAAATCGATAATCATACATCTTCAAAAATTTGAGATTTGTAAACTGCGACCTGTTTTTTGACAGATCTTAAATCATCTTACGAAAAAAAAAGGAAAAAAAGAAAAGAAATTTGTCTCCACGCAAAACATACAATCTGATTTATAAACACATGTTTTAACACAAATTTTCAAGTTTGCGAGCAGCAAAATTTTAATTTAGTTGTTTGTGCCCAGAAAATTTTTTAACGAAAAATGATTAAAAAAATTGTTTTTCTTCAATTTGAATATTTTTTTTGGAAAAAATTGAATCATCAAATTTTTTAAGTTTTGGTCTCCAAAATCAGTTTTAATAGCACTAAATTTAAAATAATAATTTCGAACATCCGGAGATTTAGCCCATAATTTGTTTGTTGATGAAAAAAAAACATTTTTTTGTGAAAAAAAGCAAGTCAAACTAATTTCATAGTTTGAAAATGTATGACTAACATTTCTCCTGTGCAGAGATCAACACGGTATAATTCTACGTTTAACTATGTTTCGATTCGGGTTTAGCTATGTTTCGATTCGGGTTCAACTATCTTTGGATTCGGTACAGTTGATAAAACCATCCTTAGTTCTGTCATTGGATTTGGCTAGTTTAATTTGAGTTTCACTATTTGTTTGGTTCTTCAATCAGGTCGCTTTACGTTTTTCCTCTTCTTCGAAATATATTGCGAAACAAATATGGTAATATTCTGAAGACTGATGTGTTAACGAACTTATTTTGAAAGTCTCAAATTGATGATTTCCAAGACTACAATTTTCGCGTAAACATTTATGTAAAAATGATCAAATTTGTATTCAAGCTATGCGATGTGGTCTTCAAAAATAACCCAAAATGTTTATTTAAAGAAATTATTTGAAAAATTTTATGCTTCCAAAAACTCCCAAAAATACAGATTCATATTAAAAAAAACTATCGATTTTTAGCCGAATTTTGCAAATTTCAAAACTACTTTCAACATGAAATGAGAGTGCTTGTTGCTGATTGGTCAAAAACAAATGGATAATCAAAATAGCTAAAATCTTGCAATTGGTATTTCATACCGTCACATTAACAAAAAATGGGATCGCTTAGGTTAAAAAACACCTCATTTGCCGCAAAATCCCTGAAGTGGCCCGCACTGGAGTTCCATGGATAATAATTGATTATATTGTCATTTCATAGACAGTATCTATAAAATTACAAAAATAATCGATTATAATCAATCAAAAATGGATTATAATCCATTATTTTTTTTATTAATATGATTGGTTACAATCGATTATAATTCATTACAAATGGAATAAATGTCTTATATTTTTTTTGCCAATATAATCCCTTATATTTGGTTATAATCATTTTAACGGATTTTTTTCAAGATAGTGTCATAGAATTTACAATTTTGTAAAAATTTTTATCGCATTTCCTGTTTAGTGCAGTTGCTACGTATTAGGTTTCTTAAAATGTTACATTACATTTCACTTTTCAATTAATTTTGTCTTATATACCCCGTTTACCCCCTCCCTGTTTACCCTGTTGGTGCACTTTGGATGAGGAGGGTTTATAATTTACAAACCCCCCCCCCCCCCAATTTAATAACCCCTCCACACAGTTTACCCCTCCTGAATTTACCCCCCCCCCCCCCCATTTTAGCTTAAACCCCGCCGTTTAATATGGGAGAAGGTTTGGACAAATGCGGACGGATGAGGGCAAAGTGGAGGGTAGTTAATTCGAGTATGTTTAGATTGCAAGTAAGCCGGCCGTGAGTAACGCAGAAATGTTGCAAGTTTTGCAAATGATTTTGCAAAAAAATGTATAGATTACAATCCGTTATAATCAATTATAATGGATTTTAAATGGATTATGATTTAATCCATTAAAAAAATCGATTTTAATGACTACATAATCGATTACGTAATCTAAATTTGCCACAATAATGGATTATAATGACAACATTTTAGACAACGTTTTTCAATTATCATCGATTATTATCTATAAAACTCCGGTGTGGGGTAGCTCTAAATTGAAGGAGCTTTAGAGGTGTGTGATTTCACTACGCTGGTAAACGATTTAAATACATTGAAATGCTTTTAGCTGTCAGTGAATTAAAATTTTTATAAATACCTATTGGAGCGCAGCTAAAAAGCGTTCTGTTCTCCATAGACATATTAGTACACGTATTGATTGGAGAAACTTCGAAACAGAAGATGAAACCAGAATTCAGCTGGCCCACATTGATATTGTTTGAACTATCCACTATTTTAGTGGATTTCCCAGATTCTATTTCAGCTGGGGTCAGAAACATCCGAATAAAGTCGGCATCTTCGATACGCGTATCCAGTTCTAGATGACTAATCGAACACGTCTGGGAGGAGTTTTCAAAATCGTTGCGTTCTTTGATGTCGAAAATCAACGTAGCCGAAGAGGACGTGATGTTGGTAGCTGCCAAGTTCTCGTCAGAATTTGCTGGAAAAATATTACGTGATCAGACCAAATATTATCAGATTAGTTTTAAAATGCTCAAGTTTTCATTGATTGAAATTTATGCCAAGAAATAGTTTCAAAGAATAATTTCATGATAATCTAAAAATGGTAGTTTCAATAAAACTGAAACATTCAAAGATTGATTTATTGAAAAACTTATTCCCTGAGATTTATCGTTGTTCTATAACCTTATCTGAGTAGAAAAACATTTTAGATCAATTTTTCTTGACACTGAGTCATTTTTTCTGAAATATCTTGAAACCCGAATATAAATCAAGGGGTCCTAAAAAGAAAAAATACATGCTCTTATACGATGCTTATTTTCGTCACATGATAATTATACGCGGATTTAGGGGGGGGGAAAGGGGGCGGACGCTTTTTTCTCAGGGATCCTACCCCCTGCCGACCCAAAGGGTCCCAGCTTTGTACTATTTTGAAACATCCATTTTTGGTGACTGACCCCAAAAATGTTCTAAAGGCGCCTTCGACGCCAATATATACTAGTTTTGAGGGGGAGCGCGCGCCTAAAAAAACGCGATTTTTTGGTCATAAATTTCCAAAAAGTGCGCAAAAACGCATTTTTTGGCCTGTTTTTTTTCAAAAGTTTTGCTTGCGGCGCAGAAAATTAGACTAAAGCAGGGATTTTTTAGTGCTTTGGGAGGGGTCGAAAAATCAATTTGGTCGACCTAAAAAAAAGTAGACAAAATTTCGAAAACTTTTTGAAAATCCCCCCCCCACTCGAGAAAATCCTAGATCCGCTCCTGGTTCTACGTGATATAAAAACAACTTATTTTATCTATGAGTTGTCTAAGCAATAAGATGAATAAATGCTGTGCTTAAATCAGATATCTCTAAGTTGGCTTGTAACTTACTCATATTGAAAACCAGAGTCTGTGGTCCAGATCTCCTGTGGAAGCTGTTCATGTAAACCTGCACCTTGTACTCCAGGCCAGCTGTCAAATTGGTCGCATTGTACTCTAAAAGGTGCTTTGCTTGATCAACCGAAAATTTCACTACAATAAGGTTATTTTTTTTTAATTTTTTTTTTATTTATTTTTATCATCTACATCTATTTGTCTTTTGTCTAAAATAATACTAGAAAATTTATTTTTATTTTAGAAAACCTTTAAAAATCGATTTAGGCAAGTTTCCAAAATTAAGCAATTTTAAGCAAGTCATTAACAACCTGTTTGCTCTACAACTGCGATGTGATCCTCGTTGATGAAGACGTCAAAATTGTTGTACAAGCTGGATGACGCGTCCCAAAACAGACGTGCAGACTCGCCTGCCACCAGAGTTTGGAAGAAAATAGGGCCGAAATCCGGTGAGGGAGGTTCTGAAAAATTTGAAACAAGTAATAAAAAAATTTTGTGGTCAAAAACGCTGTAATTTGGAGAACTAACAAAAAAAAAACAGATACAGAATGATTAAAATAAGGTGAAATATAAATTACCACATGGTGTTGTAGCTAATATTACATTTAGAGCAGTTCTACCATTTAAAAGAAGAAAATATTTTCACGTCATATTCTTCAACACTTCGGCATCTTCAAAACTTTCCAGAAACTTGTCATTCATAGAACTTCGTTAACAAAAAAAAACTACAGCAAAAATTTACAGCTCACTTTTAGTGCCAATTTTAGGAAGGTCAGTTACTTTATGATTCTTAGCTAATTTTCATTTATAAAAATTTTGATTCAAATTTTCAATGAAATGTCTTTAAACGTATGGGTATATTTTATTGATGGTTTTTATGGAAACATAGCAAAAAAGTGAAAACGGTTTTCTTATTCATGCGAAAATGTATTCATACACTTTCAAGCAGTGAGAAATGCTTGTCTTTCATTTCTCATATGTCAACTAGGCTGCTCGTATATCCAAGCAAACCACTGAAAGTTTTGACTGCCCTTTATTAACGACAACTTTTTTGTTTAAAAAATGCTCGAAAAAATGCTATCCTATAAAATGTTCGGAACAATTGAGAACAGTTTGAGTTTATTTAATATTTAGTATATTGTTTAATTCCTAGTCTTATCCCTTAAAAATTATGCAAAGTAACAAATGATATATGTTGGGTGTGGTAACCTTTTAAAGAGAGGAAACTTCTAGCATCAATTTAATTTGAAAGGCTGTAATTTGACGCTGACGCTATATTACAACGAATCATAACGCGCGTTAGCTGTCCCAACTTCAATTATAGTCGTCACAGTAATTCCAATTTCAAACTAATGTGAAATTTGAAAAACACATTTGTAATATTTTCGTTCATTTGAACTCTAGAGAACACTATCTTTTAGATGGTTTAAAAAACCTTTGTCTAAACTCTGCATAATGAAAAAGTCGAAACATAATATAAGGATTGTATTAGATTTTGTATGCCCCAACTATTTTTCAGTTCGGTTAGCTTGTTTTCTACAGGGTACTTGAAACAAAAATAGAGCCGAATTGTTAATGTTTTGGGCTTTTTCTAGCGTGGTTTTTTACGCGTGGGCTGGAGAACTGAAGTTAAATTAAACTTAAATTGGGCGTCGCCGGCAAAATTTTCAGGATTTGACTTCGAACGATGCTCTAATTATCATGCTTAGATGTTTTCTTTAATTGTCATCACCCGGGTTGACCTCCATAAACCGAAAATGCTTATCTTACAATCCCATACACCGAAAATGCTCATCATACAATTCCATTTATCAAACGTATGGAAAAAATGATAATCATACAGTTTTCATATAATTTCAAAAAATCATTGAAAAAAGATTCAAACAATTTTATCCGGCTACTTGAACCAAATTGAACAGTCTGGTGATGAAAAAAAAACTATGTTTTTTTTTAGAAAAAACTGGTTATCATACAATTTCCTTATGTTCCTTGTATGTCTAACATTTTTTTGACGGCGACAACAAAAAAACTTTGCAAGGAATAATGGAAATGCCCCAAATTTTTTTTTCTCAACCGCAAACCGAATTTTGTACTCTAACCAACATTTTCCAAAAAAAAACTTTGCATGCAAACTTTAATTTTCTGTCTGCATAAAGCAGTCCTGGATACACAAAAATAGGAATTTTTTCCGTTACTCTGGATAACTTTTTTCTGTATCTATGGAATTTTACGAAATTGTATAATAAACATTTTTTTCATATTTGAAAAATGTAGAATAAGCATTTATGGTCAACCCGGGTCATTAAAAGATTCCTGTTTTCTTCCAGGCTTTTTTTTCAAACCAAAATGGATCACAATTGGAAAATAACAAGTCCACGAGCACATTACGTCGAAGAACAGAACAAACAAAACTTCATGCTTTGTTACAAATTGATTTGGCATCTGTAACTGAAAAACTGAAATTAAACCATTCGAGTATTTTGGCACTCAAATTGCCATTAATAGTTGGGCAAATGGACGGTTCTTCTCTTTGAAGAATAAATGAAGCCCCCGGGTACAGATCCTTGACTTAAGAAAAGTACGGCGCGACCCAATTTATGACCTAAATATCACGCCAAAGTCTTCTGTGGTTGATTTATTAATAATTTATCAATTATCTACAAATCCTGGCCATTAACATCCTGGCCATGTTTCGACTCAAACTTACTGCAGAAATTGTTTTCATCATCATAATAACAGTCCCAAACGGTCCCATTTCTGTCTTTGCACTGAAGGGAGTCCTTATTTGAGATTGGAGCACAGGAGTTGTAGTTCTGCCCATTGTGTTCAAATGGCATCTGGCACAGTTTGTCCAGCTGTTTGGTCGGGCAAAAGCCACATTGCTCTGGAGAAAAGTAGAGAGTATTAAGAAACTTTCATTAGAATATGGATGTTATGTTAAGTAATAGGCTCGCGTGGGTTCATATTTGTATCTTGTAAGTAAATGTTTTCGGACTGTACGTTGCAGAGGAAAGTACTAAGCATCATTGGTTCAGCTATATTCAAAAATGAAGAAGTATAGATCATTCACGGACAGCTTCGAACCATCAAAAACGATCCAAAGGTAGCTAAAATTAGAAAACTTTAATATGGCGCAATCATTTTTGCTTATAATCTACACAACCTTAAAAATGCTCACGAGTTTCCATTCTTCCAATTTTTTTTTTTTTTTGACAGTTTTAACTACATATAGAAATGTTTTATTTTTCAGTTTGCAGTTGTTGGAATGTATTTCATTATCTTATTCTTCGATACATGTCCAAATGGCAGAGCTCTGTCTGCTTTCAAAAGCTTCATTGAAGTTGGTCATAAACTCATTAACTACTATGCATCAAAAATATTATTGTTCCGACTTTCGTAACAAAAGTAACGGAACATTTGTGCTCGGGGTGGAGTTTTTTTTTTTCTTCAGACAAGTTTCGACTTTTTAACTAGCCATTTTTGACAGAAGTTTGATATCAATCGAAAGCTATTGTTGCCCTGAGCTTAAATTTGAAAAGATTTTTTTACCTGTAATCATTTTTCGCAAAGTTATGAGGGTTTAAGGATGGCCATTTTGGCCAATTAGGGACAATTAACGGGCGATATATTTCGCGCTATTCACGCGAATGCGAAATTTAATCCGTCCTAGAAATCGTTCCAATTGGTTAAAAAAGCTTATATGCCATGATTTATTTGTTAAAAAGAGCGAAATATATCCTTTTGCACTTTATATGGCGTGTTATTTTTTAATTTATTTTATTATAATCTTATTTTTTTACTTTTAAACTTTTCATGTTATTACTGCTCCATAGACATTAAAAGGCAGTCGGAACATTCAGGGTTTCACCCTGATACGAGCAGTCTTGTTTCCGATTTATCTACACAATAAATTTTGCATCTACTTAACAATTGCCCCCCCCCCCTTAAGAAAAGGGGGCAAGTGTAAAGTAGATTAAAATAACGCATTTTCGACCATTCAGAATGCAGCAAAATTTTAATTCTCAATAGAAATATCAGTGCTAATTTACTGCTTTTATTAATGAGGGTGGAAATTTTTAAGTAGATACCAAAAGGGGGCAATTGTTAAGTAGATATTAAATTTTGCTACAATTTGTTTCCAAACACCACCGGAATTTAACACAAATTAGCCAAACAAGACTGCTCGTATCAAGGCGAATCGCTGAATATTCCGACTGCCTTTTAAGGTTTATGGAGCAGTAATAACATTAAAAAAACTAAAAATGTAATAAATATAAAATGAAAAAAAAAAATCTAAAATTTGGTTTTTTTTGAAATCATCACCCCACACGTCATATAAAGTAATAAAGATTAGATTTCGCTCATTGTAACAAGTCAATTATGGCAAATAAGCTTTCTTTCAACAAATTTGGAACGGTTTCTAAGACGGATTCAATCTCCGCTTACGCGTTAATAGTGCGAAATATAACGCGCGTTAATTGTCCCAAAATGGCCAAAATAGCAATCTTTAAACCCTCATAACTTTACGAAAAATGATCACAGGTAGAATATCTTTTTAAATTTATGCTCAGGACAACAATAGCTTTCGAATGATATTTTAAAAATTCCGTCGAAAATGGCTAGTTAAAAAGTCGAAATTTGTCTGAATAAAAAAAAACCACCCCGAGCACAAATATTCCGTTACTTTCGTATCAAAAGTCGGAAAATAAATGTAAATATATAATGAGCAAAAAAGTGTTTTTGAATCATCGATAGAAAATGTACTGCAGTTTTTATTTTCTAAAAATTTCCTCAAAAATTTAGCTCAAATTGGAAGTAGTTGAAATCTGAAATTTTCTATTGCTGCGCAAGACAATTTTAATGAGAACAAATCTGATATTTTAAACTCACCCATTATGACATGTCTGAAGTTTTCTGAAATAAAAAGAAAAGCTAATTGAATTTTCAATTTTTTTTTTCAGTTTTGTTCCTCGATCGAAATTTTCATACCCAAGTCCCGCTTGATGGAGATCTCGTTTTCCCCTGTAACATAACAAAAATTGTGCATCGATGAATTACAGAATAAATTGCCAGTTTTTTCAGAAGAAACCAGAAGAAGCCAGTCAGTTTTTTTTTTCGAATGATTGCTTGAGTTTTCTTGCTGAAATTAGAAAATTAGAAATTGTTCTGTTTTAAAAACTTTGCTTATAACTTACAGTTTCTAATAGTGATATCTGCAATTCCGGGGTTCAATCCCGGTCTTACTGGGACAATAGTCACGTTCTGATTAGTGCACAGGTCCACGAATATAGTTGCACTCAGTGCTGAAACCGACAAAGAGTAAAAGCTTAAGCGAAAGGAGATAAATGAGTCGACGGAATCAAAGCAAACGGATCTGAATTGTGAATCTCGATATTATTCTAATTAACAGGGGGCTGAAAGAGCTATATTTTAAAAACCAGGTGAATGAATTCAATTTTCAGATAAAAAGGCTGATTGAGCCTAATTGTTCAAAAATCGGGCGCGTCCATCCTTTCTCTTAACTCTGGCCGCATATATGTACCAGCATCTTAGAAGAGTTGAAACAAATCAACTATAGTTATAAAATTTGTCAATATCATCAATTCCCAAATCACGCTCAGACAACGGAATGGATAGAAAATCGTTTATATCCATTGTTTTTATCTATTTTAAAATGATTTTCGAGCCATTTAAAATCGATTCACTATAATTTTGCCTCGAGCAGAAGCTTTCCAAAACCATATAACTGTACGGCCTACCTTTTGTCTAAACCTATATCTACCCAAACTGATTTCACCACAACCCCACCCCCCCCCCCCCCCCCCAACGTTTGCCTGTTCTTATTACCCTTTCCTGCCATGCCCTGCCCCGCCCCGCTCTGCCCGGTCTGACCCGATCCCAATGTTTATCCCTAGGTGGAAGTGGGATAAAATATAAGGGGAAGAAGCAAGTTTTTTTTGGGGGGGGGGGTTTGAGGAGGCAAACGTCGTGGAGAGGGACATAGACACTCATACATACTCATAATTACATAATAAGCAATTGTTGGGCAAAACCATCCAAAACGTGCTCAGATTTGGCATTTTTGACATACTGTTTCTAAAGCATGCCTGCGGCGCAGAAAAAATCAGTCGGATCAATTGAGCAATCAAACCCCCCCTCGAGCAAAAATTTCGAAAAAGAAAAAAAATCAAATTTTATTTTAAAAAATTCGATTCTATAATTTTTTTCTAAACTTTTGTTTGGGCGACCAATGCCTCATCAGAAAGCAAATTACCAGGGTTGATGCTCTAGCCTTGGATCTGGATATTAAACATTGCTCTCCGCAGCACCTTAATATTGTGTGCAAAACACTTTTGATCCTCTGAGTACAGAAAAAAGTAGCTTTATTTGCCTCAAATTTATTGATTCTTTTTCACTTTGATTGTAATTTTTGAGCTTTCATATTGTAAATTTTGGCCTTCCTCATTCGTTGGAGAATCTGTTTATGATTTCATATCATCCAAACTATTTTCAAGTGTTTATAAACATGTCTCAAGAACCTATTGGGCTTTATCCCCACCCAAGCGAGAAGGGGGGGGGGGAGAGATTGCTCAATTGATCCAATCAGTCAATATATAACCTTATAGAGTTTTTGGAGAGCCCGAGAAATATAAATTTGGTTGATCTAAAGAAAGGTTGCCAAATTCTTCAATTTGTACTGGAAATCAGACGCTACTTCTCGAGAAAATTCTAGATCCAAACGATACATCCATATATACATCAATACATAAAAAAATCATGAGGGTAAAATAATTTTACAAAATTTTAGCAATTTTTTTGAAAGCAAGTAAAATACAGGAGCGGATTGAAGGGTGGGGGGCTGGGTTTGGAGGCGGACGTCTCTTTTTCCCGCCCCCGACCTCCCTCGGGAATTTGACCCCTGCCGACCCGAAAGGTCCCCCTTTGTGCTATTTTATGATTTTCACTTTTGGCTGACGGAATATAAAAGTTTTTTAAAGTCTCCTTTAACCCCAATGTTCACTAATTTTGAGGGCGAAACGCGGTCGAAAAAACGCGATTTTTTGTCAAAACTTGCGGCGCAGAAAATTTGCCAGAAGAGGTCTTTTTAGTGCTTTGGGAGAGCTCGAGAAATTAATTTAATCAACCTAAAAAAGGGCGACAAAAGTTTCCAAAAACTTTTGAAAATTCGCCACCCCGCTCGAGAAAGTCTTAGATCTACTCCAGGTGAAATTATTTGGAGCCCGGAGGCAATTCATTATGGTGGTTTATTCGTTTTTTATGCTTATTACCTGTGGAATTTGGCTTGATAGACTGTATCTCGTGGCCATTAAGGCGAACTGAATAGAAGTCATCACTGAGTTGGTCGAGGAAGTCATCAGGTGTCACCCATTCAAGGAAAATCCACGTGGGGCTGAGGAAGGATTTCTTTAACTATCCCCCTTCTTTTGCAAAAGGGAAAGATCCCTTGTTGGGAACAAAATTCTAAAAAGCTTAACCGTTGAATTATTATTTTTAGGGGTGAAAAATCGTTACTAGGTATCATAGGGGGATGGTTAAAGAAATCCCTGAGGAAATAGAAGCTTTGATTCAGTGGTTGACCGCCAAAACCTAGAAAATCAAAACAAACATTGAAATGAAAAATCAGAGTTATTCCATGAAATCAAAAGAGAGTGTAGCTAACTGTAGGTCTCCTGAAATTTGCGAAAATTGTATAAAGACACTATCAAGACATAAAGTCATAAAGATACTATCAAGACATAAATTGTATAAAAACATAAAATCTTTCGCACTATCAAAATTGTTCAAAAAAACTACATTCAATCCTATTTGATTTCGTTTTTCATGAAGCGTTTTTTTCAATTAAGCAATAAAATATATCAACTGCAAAGTTTATTTTTTTACTACTGATTTTAATGAAAAAAAAGCTGTCAACTTTACAGCTGTCAAAAACCAACGCATAACTTTGTCCGAATTAATTACACAAAAAACTTCGATCTATTTTGAATTATTGGATGATTTTGAATTAAAATTTTAAAATTAGAACCAAAACAGGATAATACTTGATTTACTTTTTGATATTGTAAACAAAACTAAGATTATTAAAACAGTTTAAACTACTAAATTATTTCGATTTAAAGAATTAAAAAAATTAACTTATTTTAGCATGGAATCGTCTGCAAAAAAAAAACAAGAAAAATTGAAATTATTTTGGAAGTTTAAGCAAATTAAACTTTTGCGGTTTGATGAGTTTTATTGTGCTACAGAGAAAAATGCAAAACAGGAAGAGAGTTTTGTTCTTGGATAGATTTTTTGTTTTCTTTTCTTTGCTTCTTAAATCGATATTGATCAGATTTTTTTGCTTCTTGAAATCGATATTGATCAACAATCGGAATTTCTTTGTTTTGATTTAGGTTGAAAACTTGAGCTTCAGGTTGATGCTATGCTAACATTTAAACTATTGAATTATGCTGATGTTAATCTTGATAGAATCCAACAAAAAACTTGAAGCTAAAAATTTCTGAAATCAGGTATCAGGTTTTGCTTTTACTTTCCCAAAAATAACACCTTTTCAAAGTTTTCAGTTATTTTGTCGAGACACGATAAAAATAGAGTTTCAGGTGATAGAGGATTTTGCAAGCTTAAAATTTTGCAGAATTAACGGAATTCGGCTGATAGAGAAGAATAATTCTTAGAACAGCAGTTAGAGCAGAATATGAATCATACGGCAGATTTCGTCAATTTTTCTCAAAAAAAAACTTTTAAATGATGAAATGAAAGCTGCAATTTTATTTCTCGGAAATACCAAAAAAACGTCTATGCTCTATCCGACTAAACTTCAAATAAAAACTACCCTTTTTTTCAGAAGCACAAAGAATGAATCTATCCGCGACTCTTCTACAATATTTTGCTTCGTGAAATCACTCTGATCGGTTTTCAAATTGATCTCTTTCTCAAAACAAAGTAATTATTTTGTAATATACGCATGATAAATGAGGTTTTTTATAGAGCAAAAAGAGCAGAAATTAATCTATGAAGCAGCAGAATTTGCTCTTTAGAGCAGCAGAAGCTTTTGGGGCCTAATAGCGTTTGATCCGCGTCAGGATTTACATTGCAGACTTGCTGCAATTGTTTTCAAAATAACAGCAAAACAACTGTTTTTTAAGCAATTATTCAATTAAGAGGATTAGCAGAGAATCATACTGCTGTTGTGAGCTGTCCAAAAAACTCGTTTTAATTATTTTTTAAGACAACAAAGTTTTCTGAATCACGGATGTAGAAGCTTTTGTATGATGTCTTAATGACTCCGTAAGAACTTCTTTGATGTATCTAAGTTAGAAAAGCTATAATTAATTGCCCTTTTTGTGAGCGTTTATAACGGGGGGAGCTATTCTCATGATAAAAGGACCCAATGATGAAAACTTCAACCAATCAAAATCAATAGAAGATCCTATTCGCTGAATGGTTTCTGTATTGAACCGAGATCAAAATTAGCAGAATCAGAAATAAAGCATGCACCGTCTGTGACGATACAAGAATATTGGTGTTTTGTTTTTCAATTTTTCTTAATCCAGTATCTAAAAAAATGTTTATAAATTTTTTTTCTGTAATCTGCTTATTTTATAATCAGTCAGTATTAATTTTTATGGCCTGAATTTATTTGCTTACTTTGAGATTTTTGAGTACCCAACTCTGATTGGCTGAAGTTTGTTGAAAATAACTTTTCAATTTTCGGTCCCTCCATCATGAGGGACGCCACAGTTTTTAGCAACAACTTATCGAAAACATAGTATGAGTTAACAACCAACCATTAGTTTCACATGCAACTTGAAGAGTACTGGCATTAGTAACAACGTCAAAATCTTGAAAGTCGTCATCGTATCGACACAACATCGGAATTATTGTTCGCACAGAACAAATAAACTCAGTGGCGATATAGAGATCTCGGATGGTCGAGGAGTCAAACGAGATTAAGTTATCTGTTTCATTTGAAACAGAAAGTGTAGTATCAATTAAAGTCTGGCCTGTCAAGGTTCGAATGACAACTTGATAAGCATTTGGAACGATAGATCCGGAGTTGGGTACAATCCAAGACAATTTGATTGCTGTTTTGTTTGATTCTGCTTGTGTAAGGTTTTGAACTGGATCAGGCCCTGAAAAAGATTTACAAAATTATTTGAATATCAGTAAAATCAAATACACTCGAATTAAAATAAAAAACTTGAAAGAGAAGAAATAAGACCAGCCTTTTAATTATAATTTTAAATATTTCGACTAAATTCGACTATGATAATTGGTTACAAAAATTGCCATATTTGATATTGTATTCCAATAGTATTATGAATTTCCCTAGTCAAATTCGTTTGTTCTAATTTTAAAGTTAATTCATTCTAAACTGATTTCTAACTAAGCTCTAAGCCGCATAGCTCGAGTTTTCAGATATCTCCAAGATATTGAGCCCTCTTTGAAGAAAATATTTTACTCAGCGTGTGAGGGGTAAAAAGAACACAAAAATGAAAAAAAAAACAAACCTATACTTTCTTCAGTGTTTTTTTGCTTAATTCTTTAATATTTTTAAGCAAAATTTGTCCTTAAAAATTAAGCACCAATGTTAACATTCAGGGTTTTTTCATAAATTGTGAGCAGTTTGTTCAATACACTAAATGATATATGATGTGAAAAAAAGTTGGTCCAAAACAGTAAATTATATATGATTTGAAAAACATACTAAGCCGGTGACAAAAAGGACTTGTTGAAAACTCAATTGTTTCAAGTGGCAGCCGACCGAAACAACTATCGCCAGAAAATATAAATCTTTCAAATCAACCAATGAATCAGTTCAAAATCAAAACAATCCACAACATCCATATATTTTTTAAAACTTTATGGATAGTGCAAAAATACGCAACCATCTATTAGGTGATGACTTTCTACTAAGTGTTTGCGATTTTTTATTTCTGTTTTCCAAATTTTGAAGAAATTGAGCATTAAACATCCAAAGTAATTTTTTTAAATTAAGGTTTTCTCAAAACGAACGTTTAGACAGCCTCGTGATCTCTCCTAGAATCTTCGGATTATCAGGCGAGCACGTTTACACTAGCCAAACTGCTTTTGAGAAACTCTTTTTTATTAACAGTAGTTTTGTCGGTACGCGAATTATTAAATGAGTGGCTCATTATTTCGCCTTAATTATTGTTTCAAATTGATTTGAGGTAAGACAAGAGTGCTCGTATATCAAGGCAAAGCCCTGAATGTTCCGACTGTCCCTTAATTCATATCGAAAAGTTTTTGGGGAAAAAACATTGAAAACGTAAAAATTTTGGACAATATCACAGTCTAAAATCAAAATATTGAGTCGTACGAAATTAATACGACCTGAATGGCTAGCCTCAATTCTTTTTGGGTCGATGTTGTTGTACGAGATAATTCGCCACGCATTAGTTATTCGCGTTACGCTCCGAGCAATTCGAATAAATTCTTCAAAGCGCGCATAATTTAGTCCAGAACCTGGCCAATTTGGCAATTTTAAACCCCCAGAACTTTACAAAAATAATTGGATTTAAAATTTCTTTTGGCATTTGAACTCAGGAAGTCAATATCCTCCATGATGTATAAAAATATTTTGTTGAAAACTGTTATTTTACTCGGTGAAATTTGTCTGAAGAAAAAACCATCCCGAGCACAAATATTCCGTTACTTTCGTTACAAAAATCAGAACAATTTGATCAAATTAATTATTTAAACGGCTCAAGATAATTTAATGATTTTTGCTGCGATTTAATGTAAGATGTTGGCAATAAAAAACTAATTTATGGCAGTAGGAGCAGTCACGTTTTGGCCTTAATATAAGATTAATTTTGTTTTGCGCTGCATTGGCTGAATGCCATCCATGATCACAAACGTCACAGCTAAAACTTTGAATCAATTTCTTAGATTGTTATCGAGGATCAACCAGCTACCAGTGACTTCTAAACAAAATCTTCAAGAAAATATTTCAAGTTCGATCTGTAAAATCTTTTTAGCAGTTTTAATTAATTATTTGTTAAGATGCTATCCATGTACTTTAATCATTGCAGAGGAAACACCAAAAACTTGAAAAAGAAGAAATTATTCTGTTGCTGAATTGAAAACCAAAATTGGCATGATTTCTTTGTCATTCCGTGTTGAAGTCCTAACGTTAATTTTTGCTTTTTCTGTAGTATCCCAGTAATCGCTTTTTTTTCCAGCGCTGTTTCATGTATAATTCAGAGTTTTTTGCCTTATTTTAGAGCTATTTCAGTAACGATTCCCTAAAAGTAGAAAATCAGAATTAAAAAGTAATTTTTTCAAACTCATTCTAGTAACTTTCAAATAAGAGTGTGAGTTGATAAGCCCTATAACATCTATCTAAGGCTTGTTGGAGCAGAAGTTTCATGCATATCTGAAAACTCCGGTATTTCACTTTTTTTGCTCATTTTGATAGGTTTTTATTGCTGTTATACAGCTGCTTCATTGCTGAAAAATTGCCAAATTAGCGATAATATATCGATAAGTTTTGCTATTGTGGCAATGAACATCGATAATTCATCGATAGCGATCATTTTTTGTTTCTCTTTTTCTCGCTATTTTTCAATGTAGCCTCAGGGATTCGACCCCCTGCCGACCCAAAGGGTCCCCCCTTTGTAATTTTTTGAGATATCCATTTGACCTTTAAATTTTTCTTGAGGCGCCTTCGCGCCAATCTATATTAATTTTGAGGGTGTGCGCGCGCCGTATGAAAAAGAGATTTTTTGGTCAATATTTTTCGAAAAAAGTGCCTAAAAACGTCTTTTTTCAAAATTTTGCCTGCGGCGCAGAAGTTTTGGCAAAAACAGGGTCTTTGTAGTGCTTGGGGAGAGCTCAGATAATCAAATTGGACGACCTAAAAAAAGTTCGACAAAATTCTAAAATTTTTATTAAAAATCTGCCCCACCTTAAGTTCGGCGCTCTGGCTGAGCTACAGAAGCCTTGATGAACTGCTCGTTTGATTAAGTTGCGTTGAATAAGTTATTGAGAATTTTTTTACAGAACAAGTTAGAACAAAATCAACTTAGCGAGTCTCTTGTGAATCTAGATACTGTGCAAAATTCAGAAAAAAATCTGGCCAGCTTAAAGATTAATTTTCAAGTTGATCAGTTGAAATTTGGAAAATTATCTACCATTGCGATCAGTAGCGGATATGGGGGGCGGGGGCGGGGGCTTGGTTGGCTGACTGACCTTAAAAATTTTCTAGAGACGCCATTTCTAAAGGCGAAATTTACGAAAAAGTGCCTAAAAACGCCTTTTTGGCCTTTTTATCAAGTGGGTCTTTACGGTAGTTTAGGAGAGCTCAGAAAATCAATTTAGTCGACCTAAAAAAAGGTCGAAAATTTTTTTTTTAAAGTTTGAAAATCCGCCCCTCCGTCCCCCTCAAGAAATTCCTAGATCCGCGCCTCATTATCACCTAAGAAGCATAACAAATTATATACTGATATATTTGTCAATTCGAGGATTCTTTTTTTAAATTTGTCGACCATTTCTGTAATAAGTTTTTCTTGCAAACTTATATTCAATTTTAAGGATTACTCGTTTTGAAAAGCCTTTTTTAAATCATGACCCATCAAAAACACATTCTGATCTAAGAATTGTTTTTATTGCAAATGTGAAATTTTGTCATAGTGTAAGGACCAGGGCCCGAAAAAAATTGTGCCAATTTTTGCCAAAAATTGAGCTATAAATTGCGTCTAATTTCGCCAATAGTTTGCACCAAAAATTGCGCTTAAAATTCTAAAATTGTGTCATATTGCGTTATAATTGCGGCTAAGATCTACGAGAAAAACAAAACAAATGTCTGAAAATTCTTATACCCTCAGCTAAAGACTGACGTTTCTGAAGTGCGTCAACGGTCAAGGGAAGGACATCAACATTTCCTGCTATGAAAGCTAGCTCGGCCGCAACAATTTGCTGCAGAACTATGAATTATGCCATGTATTTCGTTTAATTCTTGTAGAATGAGTGAAAATTGCGTTATTTCAATAAACATGGCGTCTCGGAAAAAAACCAAGCAAAAATTTCGTTGGCAATAGCGTTATTGCAAACGCAATCTTTTCCGGGCCGTGGTAATGAAACTTTGCTTGGTGAAAAACTTAACGTTTGTGAAGATATTAATTTTTTAAATTTTTTATGGTAACATCACAAATTTGAAACATGGGAGAGTGGGAAAGAGCAATTTTGACTTACAGGAGCAGTATTGGAAGCTAGCAATTTCAGTAGAAGTAAGATTTTCGCAACTTGATATGAAGCTCTCAACGTGTACTGTAAAAACTGCAGCTGGCGAAAATCTAGCAGCAATGCTTGCATTGGTAGTTGCTCGTTCTTCGCCAATCACAAACGCTGTCGAGTTAATGGCGGGTATTAGTTGCACTCTGAAACCGTCAATTCTTCCATCGATCGCTTTGACATCGGAGCCTGGCGCGGCACCGAATAGAACATGATCCGATTTTTCTGTCATCACCAGAGACGATAGGTCTATCCCTCGAGGCACTGAAAAAAAATCGTGAAAAAGATCCATCAAAAATCTAAATCGATTGATCAGGCAATTAGAAACTACACTGTACAAAATTAATCGTTCTTTCAAAGAAAAAATTTTTGGAGAAAAAGCATATAAAAAACAAGAAAAAACGGTCGTTTTTTATTTGTGGTGTGATGAGACGAACTGAAAAAAAAGACCGAAAATTAGGCATATTTATTAGTCAGAGTATATTTGGCATATCTGCGGACGCCTCCTTCCCTCAGGGATTCTACCCCTTTTGTACTACTTTGAGATATCCATTTTTGGCTGACTGAACTTAAATTTTTTCTAAAGGCGCCTTTGGCTCCAAAATATAGTAAATTTCATGGAGAGAGCGCGCCGAAAAAACGCGATTTTTTATCAAAGTTACAAAGGATAAGTTTTCACTAAATTACGAGAAGTCCCCCCTCCTCCGCCTCACATAATTCCTAATTTTAAGGTTTTTTTAATAAGTATTAACTTCAAACTTTTTGTCGTGACCTACTATATAATCAGGTATTCAATTTTTAAAAAAAAGTATCAGATAAAAGTAAACTTACTGCTCTAAATAATGCAGGTGGTAAGAAAGAGCCAATATGGTTATTCTAAATAACCAATTTGACTTGATTTGAAAAGTTAACGCGCAATATATTTCCGTTCTATCAAAGTAAAAGTGGTGAATTATATCATATCAATTTAAATTGCGGCAGGTATTCTGGTAGTGTTTTAAAGCTCAGAGAATCGAATTTCTTACTTTGAACTTAAAATTGAGTCAGGGGATAAAAGAACGTTTAAAATTTGTCGTTTTTTTCCAGCACTGTATTAGTCTTTTCAAATAAAACACCTTTCAGTAGGACTTGAAGGGCTATTGAAATATCCAGGATTGTTAGAGAATGCTACGGGTTGCTTTCGTACATTTTTGAGAGTGCTTAGTGAGTGCATGCGCCAGGACAACAAACCTTTCGCTTGTCGTTTCCACTTATTAAGTTAAATAACGTTTTTTGTTAATTATTGGCTTCCTTAAAACTTGATAGAAGCCTGTTTATGCTCGTGTTTTTCTGCAATTTTTTTAGGCATCTTTTATATTTTCCAAAATGAACACTTTTGGTCTGCAGAAGAATCGTACTTATATTAATGAAAATAGCCTTAAATCTGCCGTTTTTGAGTTTTTGAACAAAAAGGATGTAAAAAAGCCAGTTCTCGGAAGCTGCTGTTTCTTACATCGCCAAACATTCATTAACCTTGGACTTCCGACTTCAAAAATTTCTTGCACTCCACAATCGAATTTGTCGAGATTGATTTATGAAACTCTCTGAACCGTCAAACAGTTACTGTGGCCTTCTCATATATCACTAAGAATGAGAAGGCCTCTTCTTAATTTGTTAAGTAAAGTCCGCTCTGAGCGCAGTTTTTTTGTTACAGAGAAACGAGCAAAACTACAGTGCCTAGTTCCAACCGTAGTTTTTTTTTGCGGAGAGCAGAGAAAAACGTCTAATGGGCCCGTTATGTTGATAAGTTGAGCCAATTTGTGACTTTAACGGTTGTGTAACAGGTCGTCAGGATTAAGAGTAATTTGCTTCGATTTATTTTGGATGTTTTTATCTGATCTCGACAGGTCGTCAGGATTAAGAGTGATTTGCTTCGATTTGTTTTGGATGTTTTTATCTGATCTCTACAGGTTACGCAACATCTGGGAAGGCTCTTTTTAGTCAAGTTTGAAGATATTTCCAATTATATTCACCTACTAAAGATGCTCAGATAGGAACAGAGTACCTCATAATACAAAGCCCAACAGCCCCATATGAAACTCTTTGAGATTTTTTAGCCCTCAGCTTGTGCATGAAAATTTGTTTGGTAAATTATTGATTGCTTAGAGCTTGCTTATCGCTGCGGTAACTTGTTCAGTAAAAATAAATCTTTTATTTAAAGTGACTTCTAAAAATTTAATTTCTCATTGATAGGTAGTTCCTTGTTTTCATGTTGCTGGATTTCATTGTTCCAGATTGTTGTGATAGTCACTGAAGATTTGTTTGATGATAGTTTTATTTTGTTCTTTGAAGCCAACTACTTAAGTTTTTAACAAGGGCTGTAGTACCTTTTGTTTGAGTGCAGTAATGTTAGACCAGTAGTCGTGATAGGAAAGCTATCTGCATATATTGTAATTTTGATGTTTATGGCGATGGAAGGGACATTTATGACATTAGGGTATCGAATATGATGGGCGACAAGACACCATCTTTCAGGTACACTTTGTTTCTTTTGTCGCTTTTTTGATTTTAATTCAGCATTGATAAATTGATTTTAATTCTTCTTTAATAAGTTCAGCATAGGTTGCTTTGTCTTCTCGAGTCGATCAGGTTTTTGGGAAGGTTATAGAATTAATTGCGGCGCCGGAGTAATATGAAGTTAAACGTCTCCCTTGAGAATTCGTCCTCTATTTTCAGTCGATCAACTCCAAAGTTTTTCTAAAGACGCATTCGCACAAATTTATATACAAACTTTCACGGTCACGGGCGCGCTAAAAACACGAGATTTTTTAAATCAAAACGTTCGAAAAAGTATCCCTATTACTTCAGATTTTTGCAAAACATGTCGGCAAAACTAGATGCTTATAGTACTTTGGGTCAATATGGTGGACCATTATGGTCGGCCTAAAAACACCCACTTTTTTCCCGTCCCCACAAGCAAAAAGCAGAACCACCGCCGAGATGGTACACATGGGCGGAGTTAGGGGGAAGGGGGGTGGACGCCCTCCCTTCTCAGGGATTCGACCACCTGCCGACCCAAAGGGTCCCGTCTTTGTACTATTTTGAAATATCCATTTTTGGCTGACGGACCCTAAATTTTTTCTAAAGGCGCCTTTGGCGCCAATATACACTAAATTTGAATGAGAGCGCGCGCCAAAAAAAACCACGATTCTTTGGTCAAAAAGTTTTTAAAAAAAGTGCCTAAAAACGCTTTTTTCGGCCTGTTTTTTTCAAAATTTAGCCTGCGGCGCATAAAATTTGGCCAAAAACAGGGTCTTTTTAGTGCATTGAGAGAGCTTGAAAAATAAATTTGATTGACCTAAAAAAAAGGTCGACAAAAATTTCGAAACAATGGTAAACAATAGTTTCTAATGCATCTGAACTTTTAATAATTATTTGAACAAACGCCGACTCCCACCTTTTGATGTACAACTGGTTTCATTTGCCGCGCTTTTGATTTTTCATTGATAAATTAATTGTTCGTCTCTCTCAAGAATTCGACGTAATTCCGCTTCCCATAATAAAATCGACCCCTCACTGAAGTCGTTTCTGCATAGTAAGCAGCGTTTGTGTCGTTAAATTAAATGTCGCTGTGAAAGAGGCGGGAACACATCTTTCTGATATTATTCACAAGCTAAATGTGACGTGAAATGTGTGTCCCTTTTATCAGTGGACACGGGGCCACCCGAACATAGCCAAGTATTTCCCAACACAACATCGATCATCAAACTTTCTCAATTATATTGAAGCATTTAAAAAAATTTAAACATAAATCAGTTTTTCAGTGTTCAAACGATTCAAATAAGCGCTTGTTGAAAAAAACGCCAAAATTTTTTATGAGAAAACTAGCTTTGGATATGGTAAGAACACAGCATACTTCCAGTAACAATTGCGAGACCACGTTTTTTTGACATTCATTAGAAATTGATATCTAGAAACCAAACTGAAACTACTTGCACTCACCCATGCAAACGTTAATCTCCTTGATGTAACCTGTATCGTTATTAATGTCCAAGGTCAATGTTATTGTGTGAAGTTCAGCTGGAGTCAAATTGTGAAGAATAACCGAAACTTCCCCTGGATTATCTTCAGTCACCAAGTAATCTTGATTGCAATGACGTCCCCTAGAGTCAATGCAACCAACACTTGAAATGGCGATGGATTCATTAGTGATAACTGCTACTTCCACTGAGGTCGAATTTTTCCATTTTTCCTCCAATATGACAGTTTTACGAGTTCCTGAAATTTGAAAAAAAAAGTTACATCCACCAAATCTAACCTTTTCAGAGCTATGAACATCCAAATTGATTTGAACTTAAGTGAATAGTCAGCCAAATCCGGTCGCATTGTTGAATTAGTCTTATTTGAGCTACTCTAACTGTTAAAAATAATATGAAAAACATATATTGAATATTGTTAATCTGGACAACCAAGTTGAATAACGAGAAGATTTATGAAGTATTCTCAGTGGTTTTCATCCAACAAGCATTCCAAAAAGTTTGTCTTTATGTTTGCCATGCCTACCAAAACTGTCAGACGCAAGTTTTAAGACTCAAGTTGGCACGTTCAATTTCGGCTGACCGACACTAATATTTTTCTTAAGACGCCTTTTTCTTAAAGGGGAGCGCACGCCACAAAAACGCAATTTTTTACCAAAAACATCAAAAAGTGCCTAAGAAACGCGTTTGGTAATTTAGGAGAGCTCAGAAAATCAGTTTGGTCGACCTAAAAAATCGACAAAATTTTCGATACATTTTTCCTTTTATCTTCCACACGCTATTAATAACGCAATATTAAAACGAATTGCTTGCCTTCAATTCAGTTTAAGTCGCTTAAAAAAATTTTCGGTCGCTTTAAAAAAATTGCATTGTTCCTATGCAATAAAGTTTTATAATAACCATTTTTAGACACCCTGGAATTAAATACAAGCTTTTTGTTATACTGTTCATCAAAAAACATTGTATGAAAACATCATACGCAATTTTTTTGTTTATTGTAAATACATATAACGAAATGAAAGTGGGAACGCAAATAAGAGTGAAAAACTGGAAGACTAACATGACAATAGCCTAGCGTATGTAACAATGGCTAAACCACAGGGTGCAACCAACCCCATGACCTGACCTGACCTTTACACATGTAAAGCCGAGGGGCTATAGTCCCATTTGACGGTTTTTAATTGTTTTTTCTCTCTAAAACGGTTCAAATTTGATTATGTCTGACCTCCAAAAAAAAACAATTTCTCTCAAGGGCAAATACCAGTGTTTTGAGAGCTTGCTTTGAGTTTGCAGTAATTAAAAAGTTGTTGCTATGACCGATTATACAATGTTCACTTTTAACAGTTTTTGGAGCTATTTACCGAGAAGTATCAATAATTTACAATTTGCATATTGCTTTTTTTCCATTTGTAGATTTGAGCGGCCACATTTTGGCGCCCCACACGAGAAATCGACATCAGTTTAGCAGTAGCAGTTCAAAAACAGGTATTCTACACAGAAGCGTTTTACACAAGTGTTCTACACAAAAGTTTTCCAGTTCAGAAGCAGTTGTATCTCGCAAAAGCGGGTTTTCTCCAGTTTAGAAACAAAAGCCGTGTTCAGAGGTTCTTTTTGGGACACAGACTCAGTGTTCAGAGTTGAATATAGAATTTTATTTTAAAACCCACCAAACAAGGGTTTGCTAATATTAAATGACTACAGCCTAATTGGCATTTACCACACAGATAAATTGCAATTGTGAGTTAGGACCGAGTTGGTTAACTCATAGAGTAATTTCGGATAGGGTACACCGTCTGCTCGTCACGCTATCTTATTTTCGGCCGGATAGATTCGTGCAACTTCTTAGTCTAATACCGATCCTAATCTTACTCTTATACTATCTAGTCTCAGGTTGTTTAACTAGTCTCTGCTAGGCTCAATAGATCTAGGGTATACTGGTTTATTGCGGTTGCTGAAGTGCTCGGGAGAGTCCAACTAATTTCTAAGTTAAATTCAAATCTCTCTGGTGCTGAAATTACAAGTAACTTCAGCACTTACAAATAAGTGGGTTGTTAGTTAGATGGATCATGATTGGTTAATATTAAATACTTTACATTGGTAAAATATCTAAATTATCCAATCATAAAATGTAGTTTAGATCAGGTTCCACCCATCCGGGTTTTACAGAGTTTTTTAGAATAGTTCTTCTGCAATTCGAAGGATGGATGATGGACGTTGGTGTTTGGCGAACATCTTATTTCTTCTGTTTCCTTTTTGTTAAAGAAGTTCCAGGAAGCTGGAGTTAGAGACATAAGACGTTGTGTCTTCTAGTGACAACGACTAAGTCTTTGCAACAAACTCAAATCTGATTTCAGAATGGTTTGCTATGTCAGGTTTTTCTGTTCTGCGTGGAGAACTTTTTTTGTATCTGATTTAGTTTGGGAATGGCGTGGAGATTGTGCGTGGAGGGGATGCCTGGTTACTCGGATCTGTACGTATACTTGAACATCGAGGTGGTCATTGGTCTAGTTCAATGAAGTCCTTTTCTGCGAAGTCAAGTCGTACTCTAAATCCTTTGAGTTGTGATTGTGAGTGGCATATCGATTGTGGTTGGTCATTCTCTCTCGAGTGTAGTGGGGTCGTTCTGTCTTTAGATGTTCGTCCTTGGTGTTGTATTCTGATCTATGTATTGCATAATGTAATTTACATTTTATAAAACATTTATTAGTTTAATATTTTTTAATTATGATTTTAGTTAGTTGTTTTCACAAAAGCTTTTTGTTTTAGTTCGGTTATTTTGAAGAGTTACTCACACTTGAGTAGCTCTTATTAAAAATAGAGGTGTGGTCACAAAGCGTGGATATAGCGCGGTGGGTTAGGCCGGCTATAGAGCATGCTCAGGACGTCCTTCCTGGTGGGTTAGGCCAGGAGTGGGAGTATGATTTCATGCGGTTTTTGTGAGGGGTCCTGTTATGTGACAACGTTTTATGTTGGGTTTGTTGTGGTTTTTCTTATGTCTTGTTGGTTATGTCCTTTTTCCAAAAATCAAATTGTTCGTGGTATGGGTTTGTCTTTCGACTTTTTGTGTTTTATTATTTCTTTCTTAGACTTTATAATAGTCTTCAAAAGAATAAATTATCCAGTTTTAAACTGGGTTAATCCGGTCTGGGTACCGTTGGTTTCCTTTTCTTAGTCATGCTGTTATTCTATGATTTGTGGTATTTAGTAAGCTGCGTTGGTTAGTTTTGTTTAATATGTGATTCCTTTCCAACCGGGTTAAAGGAAAGTTTGAAACATGTTATTATATGTTAGAGTTGTTGAGTGTGAAAACTTGAAACTGAAATTCATTATTTTAAACAATTCTTCGTGGGCGAGCTGTGCGAGTGTGGATAGAATTTCTGTGCGAATGAATGAGAATATCAAAAGGTTAGTACTGCATTTGCATTTTATTAATTTACTGCATAGAATTTGGAAATTTACTGCTGGTTATGGGGGAATTTTAAGTTACAAATTTTCATCATTATTAGATTTACTGCTTGTGGGGAAAATTTTAGAAATGAATTTACTGCATTGGTATTAAATTTATAAATTTATAAGTGTAAGAGATTAATAGAATTGTTGAAATCTGTTTGATGAAATTTGCGATCTTTATTTGTCTTTTGTGGTTTTTGTAGGTGATCGTCGGATGAAGGCTAAAAATCTAAAGAAAACATGGATAAAGTATGGTGAGTTTTTTAATATTTTAATTAGTTAGTAATATTCATTTGATTCATACTTACCTGTTAGTCGTCGGGGAAAAAACCGTGGGGGAAGATGTCGTGAATTAGTTCTGAAGTTGTTAGTAGTTTAGCTAAGATGCGGATGATATTTTTAGTCTGAAGCAGTGGCCAAAGCAATTGGAGTGCCTTGATAGTGGTTAGTTCTTCAGTGCCAACTGCAAACTCATAAGGTGTGTTTTGGATTAGATTATATAATTTGTGATTGAATTTAGTGTTGTGGATGAATTCTAAAATTGGGATTTCTATAGGTTGTACAAACTCGTGCGGGATAAGGAAGGGTCGGGATTCTTCGGCGTTGAAGGTCTTGGTGATGGGACAGAAGATGTACATTTGGGTTATGGGATCATAATTGCGAAGAATACCATGAAGGTTAGTATCTTTAATGCAATATGTGAAATTTAGGAAAAATGGTGAAGTGTATTTGGAATTAATGAATTGAAAACGATGGTGTGGTTGTCTAGAGGGTGTGTGTAGGTCAAAGTGATTTTGGATGAAGCGATAATAACTATATGTGTGGGTTTGTTTAGTGCGCAACATAATATCGTGTGAGCAGTGTAAATCTCTTTCGTGTGGTGCAAGGAAATGAAAGGTTAGTGAAAATATTTGGAAGCGTTCTTTAAAACTTTCGTATGCTTGTGTGTCTGTTAGTGCTTCTGAAATAATGTGATCAAACTTTCGGTCGAAGATGTTTAGTGTAAATATATATGGTGTCTTGATGAAAAATTTCTCGGTAATTTGTGGATTAGCGAAGCGATCGTCGTCTAAGAATTGATCTTGGTTAGCTCTGATGATGTTGTGATCATAGTATTCGAGTGTATATTCGTTAGCTCTAGGTGCAGTGTGTGTTTTTAGTGATTTTTTATATCCAACGTAAGTAAATTGTCTAGCGGTTAGTGGTGTAGTGAGTCGATATAGCATGTCCGTATTTCGCTCTATATCGATGTGAGTGTTAGATAAAGGTAAGCAAAGAGGGTTAGTGAAATGATAATATGAGGTCCAAGAGAGAGTGGGCATTAAAACGTATTCATCTACAAAGTTGCGTGTTTCGTTAGTGTCGTGGGGGGTGTTTAAGGTGTATTGTGGGAATGAGGGTAAGGTGATGGCTAAAAATTCTTTTGTGTTAGTATGCTTGGGGTGGTTGATGTATTCACGGGCTGTTCCTGGTTTTGCTGGGAAAGGATGGTTGGGGAACTTTCTTTTAAAAGTGCGGTAAGCTCTATTAGTGTTGAGTGAAGATTCAGTTGATGTGGATGATGGTGCTAATGATTCAGTATTATTTGAAGAGGGTGTAGGGGTAGGGGGGTTGGATGAATTTATTGTGGAGGAGATTTGGTTTATTGTTGGGGTATGGAGGTGGTAGGGTTGTTGTTGAAGGGTAATAAAATTATCTAGCTCTGGGGAGATTCGGGGGGTGTCTGGAGAATGAGATGATTGGTCAGAATGGTATGAGGAGTAGGTTGGGGTAACTTGGGAAGCATAAGAG